CTTGATATGTCTTTGGGATCTTCCATATCTGAGCATATAGATCTAACAGGAAGGAATTTGGGGTAGATGGAAATAGGGATAGAAGCTCAGGATTGGAGGCCAACGTGCTTGATTGCTTTTATTGTTTGGGGTGAATTCATTTACTCTCATGTAAAGAGAAGTTAAAAAAGATACAAATACAAGTGATTGGAGTGTTTTGTCATAACTGCTCTTTAGGTACTGACTCTAATTGAGTCATCAATTACAGAGACCTGGGAAGGGTTTAATAGATTGTTCTAGGACTCATAAGCAGAGATTGGATTATTTATAAATTGCCAAATGGGAGCTGCCTAATTCATTCAGAACCACTCTTACTTATAAATTCCTTAAAATCTTGAAAAATTGTTTTATTAACTTTTAAAGTCTGAGTTTAAAAATAATTTATAAAGAATTTATGGTGAGCTAATATGTTGTAGCACTTGGACTTTATTAGTAACATTCATAGGAGTAAATTTTGCAGTTAAGGTTATCTGGTCAGTTCTTAAAATCTTTTCTTTTGGGAGAGGTGGTTGATTATTGCTAATATAAACTCTTTTCTGCTGAATATTTTCAAGTATGATGTCTTTGCAAAGGCTCTATAATAGCTTGGGCAGCATTTCTTTTTTATAAATTTATTTTTTGGCTGCGTTGGGTCTTCATTGCTGCACGTGGGCTTTCTCTAGTTGTGGCGAACGGGGGCTACTCTTCGTTGCGGTGTGCGGGCTTCTCGTGGCGGTGGCTTCTCTTGTTGCGGAGCACGGGCTCTAGGCGCACAGGCTTCAGTAGTTGTGGCTCAAGAGCTCAGTACTTGTGGCTCGTGGGCTCTAGAGCGCAGGCTCAATAGTTGTGGCGCACGGGCTTAGTTGCCCTGTGGCATGTGGGGTCTTCCTGGACCAGGGCTCGTACCCGTGTCCCCTGCATTGGCAGGTGGCTTCTTCACCACTGCGCCACCGGGGAAGCCCCCTTTAAACACATCTTGATGTACGACATTATAAAGGACACATTTTTAAAAGTTCCGTTTTTCTGGGTTGAAATATTTAGACACGGTTAAAACTTTAACATTTAATATCTAAGCAGTTTGTCAGTTAAGTCAAATCTGTGACTATCTTTTTGACCAGATATAACCCTTTGGTTAAAGTGAGAAATCTGGGTTTGAGTTACAGTCACACTAGTATTTTTACGCTCTGAGCATATGAATTAGATAGTGTTGTCAATTTGAAAACTTACTATCTAGGCGATTAATGTTTGCTTTAAAAACTGAGGTAAGAAACCAGCTGGATTTCCTTCACATTCATTTAGGGATAGGAGATTACTGTGAAGTATAGGTCATTATTATATTTGGGTATTTTGTTGCCTTTGGTACTGTATACTTCATAGAAGACAAAAAGAAAGAAGACATATTAAGGAAGTGTAAATCATTTTTTATGGGGGAGGTAATAGTCTATGACCAATAACTCAGCAATAAAATTATCAGTTGCATAGTGTTTAGAAATAATATTTGAGTTGTGTGAACTTAGCAAACAGAACTAGCTCATTAGAAAATACCTTTATCTTTATGTAAGACTACTTGGTGTCTGAAAATACATTCTTTAAAGTACATTTTTATATTATACATTTTCTAAATACATTTTAAAATGTAGTACATTTAAGTATTAGATCATTAACTTTGACAGAGAATGGAAGGGCACCTATAAATTTGAAAATAAAGTAGTGGAACTTACTCCAGTGAAAGGTCATTTAGATATTAAAGTGAAGCATTTTAAATTCCATAAAGCTGAGTGAACATAGGATACAGTTTATGTACAGGAACTCATTCATTCATCCTATAGGTTATTTTAACACATAGCTAATCCAATACATTGCATTAGGTAATACATAGAGAAGTAGTATGTAGAGGTCTTTAATTGAACTTTAATTGAATTGAAGTTCTAGAACTTCTTGAGAGTGAAATAAATAAGAATGAAAACAGAGTGGACAAAACTGATACTCTGAAGGAAAAAAACAGCCTTTCTGCATATAAACCATAAGATAATTAAAACCACTAGGGTGTAGTCCTTATTGTAGCTGTAGAGTTTATGGCCTGATAAATGGTCCCTGTTCCACCACAGAGAGTAATTCTAGTGACTGGACAGTTTGTTTTCCTCACAGCTGTCTTCTTCCCAGGAGTAGCGTTGAACAGACATCCTCAGATTCTTAATCATCTTACTCCTTTGTAAAAGCTCTTCTCTCTTTGTCCTCCAGGCCACTTCCCGTTCTTTCTTAGCTGGAGTCACATGCCAGTCCTGCCTCCCTGGTGCCACACCCAGGTCACTGAACTTGCTCCCTTACAAATTCCTGAACCACTTGGGGATGGGTTCCTTCAGCTGATGGCTGCTCTTAACTTAGGGCCTGCTGACTCCCCCCGCCCGAATTTTAGTCTGAGGAAACTTACATTTGAAGGTTTTGAGGTACCTTGCCGTCTCACATACATAGCCCATGTCCCACTATGATCCATGCATCCTGTAACCTTTATAGTAGGTATCACACTGAGGCTACTTATCTGCTTGCTTACTGTGTCTCCCTGTGGGCCATTCCGTATCTTGTTCACCATATTTCTGGCATCTAACTTGATACAATTGTAATTGAATTAATATATTAGCTAATCCACTACATTTTGACCCCTGCGACAGAAGAGGCTGCAGGAGAGTGATCTGCATGTAGGATGTTACCTGTGCTTCCTGAGGAGATGGTGCTCTGAGCAGCTGCCACTCGTGCCTGGTTGTCTTGGCATGTCCCTCCGTGCTGCCAAAGGATTGTCGCTTCACTGATGCAGCCAGGGTCTTTGGCCAGTGACTTCCTCTTACTTGGTCTTTCCAGGCAATGTTCTGATTATAATCAGGCTTCCTAGGTAATCTTTTGCTTTTTGGGCAAAGTCCCAAATGCCCAATAATTAGTGTTTTGTCTGCCTAGCTGTTATGCTCCTCATGGCAAATGGACACTCCGGGCTCCTATAAATTGCATCACTTTGAGCCAGTTTTGATGAAATCAGACAGGATGTCAGGACAAGCCCTATTGAGGACTGGACCCAGAGGGCTGGGGGTATCTGTTGTAGCTGCCCTTTGAAGTCTTGTTTTGCTCAAGACCTCTCTCTGTGATGTCTTTATTTCACATTTAATTCGAGAGAATCTCTTTTCTGGAACTTACTATAACTTTTTAGAGACACGTATATAGAACATTTAAGTGATAATGCAAGGCAAGGCAGGAGTTGATTGGCTGTTAAAGAAAATAGTACATTAAAAAGTAGGGTGAAAAAGTTCTAAAAGAAGCAAAAATGTGAAATGAGTGGTATAGAATGTAAATGCTTTTAATTGGAATGGTTGACAGGGTACTTAGTGACTTTGAGCTGTGCCCTGGAGAAGAGGTGGGATTGGGATGGATGGGGGTGGGGGAGGAAAGGGCCAAAGGACCACCATCAGCAGAGACTGAGGATGGAAAGAAGAGGTGTTTTCAAGGATAGAAGCCAGGCAAACTGGTTACAGGGGCTTGTTAGGAGAGATGTTTGGGTAGAGCAGGGAGGGGCCAGGTGGTGGAAAACCTCTGAGTTTCTGGCTGGACCCATTTGCAGTGTGGAACGGAGGGGGAGATCGGCATAGGGAACAGCTCGATGAGGTCACCTCGTAGGATGGTTTAATTTGTTGTAACAATTGGAAGGGGTAAAAAATTGTGGGCATGGAGAACGGAAGGGAGGTGCCTAAAGTGACCTTCGGTGTAGGCTGAAGACCTCGTGGGGCAGTAGGGGGGCGGGAAAGGGTCATACGTTATGAAATGACAAGCCTTGGCAATTGAATAGAAAGGTAAGAAGAGATGAATATTAGTAAATAAATGAGCAAATAGCAAGATTCTGAGTGTGAAGTTGCTGCACAGAGGAATATGCTAGGTTATATGTATGTTAAGTATTACAGCGTTTTGCCCCAAATGTGCTGCTTCTTGTTGTTACCTCCCCTTTGCTCTTCAGGACTCTGGCTCAGAATCTTTCCGACTCAGTCACGCTGTGTTTCTGTAGAGCCTTGTGTTTACCACTGTCGAGCATTAAGCATATTGAATTCCTGTGGACTTGTCTGTCTTCTCTGCTAGACCAGGAACTCCATAAGATCAGGGATAGTCATTTTGCTTCAGCGCCTCCTAATATATTAGGTATTCAAATGTTTGTGGGATGCATTATATATGCAGTTATATTTTCTTGCTGCTTTCTCTGGAGTGTTGCAAGTAGCCCTTTTAATTGATTATTACTGATCCTACTACCACCTAGATAATAATCAGTGATTGCCCTAAATGATGCTAAGGGCCCTCTGCTTTCTCTCACTGGCTTTCTTTGGACAGATGTTTGCAGCATGCAGCCGCTGTAGTGTCTGTCTTAAAGATAGTCACGTGTGTGTACTTGGATTTCTTGGTGGAGTAAGTAACCCCAGGTGAGGTACATCAGGCTGATGTCAAGGATTAAGTACGTTAGAGCCCCAGAGGAGGCGATTCTGGCGTGCGCTCACCCCGTTGCTGTACCAGGTTCCCTGGAGAAGTACAGCACAGCATTCTCAACCTTCTTCACTCAAGATCTTTTAGGGCTGGTGAAAACGGAATTTATTAGAACAAAAGTACTATTTTTACTCTTCTTGCGTAATTTTGCATGAGAGTATGTATGTGTGTTTAGGAACATCATTCTATTTTGGTCAATGCTTGCATTCTGCATACAGTGACTGAAGCGCGTGCTTTCTCTGGGAAACTGTGGAAAGCTAGCAGGAAAACATTTTGATTTTAAAAGATTCTCCGTTTTCCAAACTCTTCCCTTTAGGTAAATGTTAGCTGTCCAAGTCAATGAAGCTGTGACCAGCGTTTGTTGCCTCATTTCCAGCTGGGGACCGCTCGTGCGCTTTCTCAGCCTCTTACCTTCTCACAGTTCTTACACCCGCTCCTCAGGTGGGAACTGCATTCTTCTTGCCCTGCTGCTTCACGCTGTTACTTTTAAGGAATTCCTCTTCTGGTAGCACCTTCCTTTTCTTTTCTTCTTGTTGTAAAGCTCTCTTGTAACGTAGGCCCTAGGGAGCTGAGGCTGAAGCTGTTGCTGGGAACGAGTGGTCTTCGCCTTTCCGTCCCCTCCTTGTACGTCCTGACAGGTCCGGAGTGGGAGCAGGGGTGCCTTCCAGGAGGCTGGAGGAGGGTTCAGCTGTCAGCAGTTGGTGTTTTGGCACATGGTGACAGGGCGGGGAAGATAATCTGTTTCAAGAGGGGAGGGGGCCACGGGAGTGTGTTGTCTGGGGAAGTTTTTCCGGGGGTGGGCCTGCCCCAGGCCGAGTTGTAGGTTGCTGGGTGTCAGAGTTAGGGGTGAACGGGGCTCTGCAGCAAAGCCGGGGAGGGGCAGTGAGGGTGGACTTTAGGACTGTGACCCCGCCCATGACCTGAGTGAGGACTCACGTCCCGGGCTTCCTTGTGGAAGTTCTTTTAATGGTTTTGGAAGGATCATTTGGTAAAAACACACAAACTTTAACGGGTGAGTGTCTCATAAAGAAAGTATAAAATAGAGATGAGGAGCCTGCATATTTGAGAGCATCATACAGGTCTGTTTTGTAGGTGGGAGCAGACTGCAAAATGGGGTGCTTTCTGCCTTCTTGACTTCAGCTTTACAGCTCCACTTAGAGTGGACCTTTGGGTTTTTAATTTCCGACTTGTTGTAGAACAGTTTCTGTCTTGTTTCGAGCACGGTGGTTCTCCACATTGTTTTTCCACACCATTCCTGCGTGCCACACTCTTAGAAGCTCATCGCATTGTAATGCTGTGATTCCCAATGAGGGAGAGGTTGGGATATACTTTTTTGAGGGGCTGGATGGGTAGGGAATGGATGACCAACCATACTTTGACTTGGAAAGCCCTCCTCCCTCATTGGGAGTCACCGCTCTGGCAGTAAGATCAGGGCCCTAAAGATGTCGAGGTGATCAGTAGTTTTAGTTTGGAAGAGCTTTTCGGATTTGTTTGGAAAGCTGCCCTGTGTGAATATAACCTCGAGTTCACCTGTGTAAGTTCAGTGACTGGCCGTTCAATCTCGGTGCACTGCCCTCTTTCCTGAATGCAGTCTTTCTCTCTTCTGTGGTGCTGGAGGCCTGTTACCACCTGGCAGGCGTTGGCAAGGTGGGCTGGGTGTCTGCACGAACTGCTTTCTTAGTTTGGCTAAGTTAGGTTGGACAAGGCCTGTAAGGAGTTGGGGTGAAGGGTAGTGAAATTGGATTTGCAATTAGAAGTTCCCTGCTCACAATGTGACCTTGGGTAAGTGGCCGCTTTAGCCTGAGTTTCCTAATGAGTAAAGGGGAGGGGTCTGGATCCCAGTGAATCACTGAGGGGTTGGAGATGACTAGAGGATACCTTTGCATTCCCAGTTGTCCCGTTGGTTTTGTTCCTAGGACTCCAGGTACTCAGCTTTTGGGCTTCTTTTAGCAAAATTTGCCCGAGAAGCATCGTCACGCCCAGCGCAGCGTAAATATTCACACGTCCCGGCACAGCCCCATCCCCACGCATATGCACACGCGTAAAATACGAATCTGTCTGCGGTGAGGAAGCCCTGTGCTCATTGCCGGGGGTTTGTTCCTGCAGAGCCTGCTGCCAGTCCCCTAAAGAGACTCCTGGAGTAGTTGTAGTGATAATGTCACAGGAACGAGAGAGAAGGCCTGGCACCTTGGGGAGACCTGCTGATATGTGACTTCTCCACTCCTCCCCCTCCTTTTTGAACCTGTTCTGTTAATAATTGCACCTCATTATGTATCTTTGGTCTTTTTACTGCTTACGATTCAAATGCTACTTAAAGCCGATTGTTTGCTTTTGTGTGCTGTAAATCCTGGGCTGCCATCTGAAGCACAACTTGATGATTGTGTATTATCATCTTGGGTTAAGTGCTGTCTCATTGCCTTGCAGGCTGCCTGCTGTTTCCCGGGGAGATCATGAAACGAGGTCGCCTTCCCAGCAGCAGTGAGGATTCTGACGACAATGGCAGTAAGTCCTGCTTTGTTGTTCTTGGAACCTACCAGGGTTTGGGTCAGTGTAAAAACATGGTTCTTTAATGTAATGCTTTAAATAGCTGAGGCCCTTCGAATATCAGGGAGGTCAGCGAAGAGCTGAGGCCTGAGAAACACATCTGAGTGTGATACTGCAGGTCTGTAACCAAATCTTTCTGGGTAAGGTTGACTGCAGGCAGGCATTCCTCAGGCTTCCTGTTTGTTTTCCAGAGATGGATAATCCAGTTTCAAGAGTCACTGGTGTGTCTGTTTTTCCTAAACATCATTTACAGCACTTCACAGTTGCTCTTTATGAAAAGGGAACTTAATCGAAGCCAGTTAATTATTAACTAGTCCAACCCCCGATACAAAGGGAGATTGAGGACTGCCTAGTGTGATGTGAAAATATTAAGTACACGAGTCGGCGGTCTTCAGTTGATTTGAACATGCCTGTATTTAATAATACTACTGTATGCATCTCAGCTCTCTGGCATCCTCGTATTTTCACAGTGCAGCTGAGAACCAGAAGTTAGTTGGCTTCCAGGCAGGCAAAATAAATGTCACACAGCATCTGTGTATTGGGAAGCTAACAGACGATCCTGGGAAGAGCTCCCTTCAGATAACAAGGAAATTTTGTACCTAGCACAGTGCCTGAGCTCTGGCCCGTTATCTTATGTTTTATATTACAGATCAAATTTGGGAAACCTTGAAAGAATGCTCGCTCTGCTGAGTGATGGGAAAAGTATTGGGCCTGCTTTCAAGGAACTCTGTCTTTGGCATATATAAGATTGAGCTCCGATGGAAAGTCACCAGGACAGTCGGAGATGCCTTTCTGATGCACTGTGGAAATGTATATATGTAGACACAAACTCAGGAGGGGGAGGGCAAGGGAAACCTACAGAGGAGATAAAAGTTGGGCAGGTCCTGAAGGATGAAATCGTTTCAGGCAAACAGGGTTGTCTTTCCGCGCTCCAAGTTTTCGGCAGATTAAAAGTGGCAAATTAGAAAGCAAAGCTTTGCCGTAGGTGGCCACACTGACAGCCACCGGAAACATTAAAAACAGAAGAACTCAAACACAGCAGTTTGACTGGAGCGTTGGGTGCAGGCATGGAGCAGTGGGAAGGAGAACTGGTGGTGATGGGTGGGTGTTGGGTGTTGGGGGTACCTGCGAAGTAAGCTGAGACCGGAGGACGGTGAAGGGCTGGGAGCTCTTGGGACAGATGGTGGGAGCTAATGTTTGGCGCGAGGGAGGAGTGAGCTGGGTAAGCACTCCAGAGAGAGGGGCGTTCCTTCTGTTTCAGGGAGCGGTATTAAGGGGCTGTACCCCGTCTGTGGGAGCGTTCGGGAACCCTGAACTTCTTAGCGCTTATCTATTCACGGCCCTCACTACCTGTTTTCTCTATTTACTTAGGCTTTTTACTCCTTGAGGCAAAAACATGCTTAGGTATTTCTTTTCTGCCCCCTGTGGTGCCGGTCAAAGTGTCCTCTGGAGTTATAAGCACTCAGTAAACGCTGGCTGTTAGCTCGTGTACACAATTTGTCCTGCAGCAATTAAAAAAGAAAACAACTTGCTTTTTAAGTTCAGAATTAATCAGAAGAAGGGTTCATGAGTTATGTCCGTGTACTAACAGTGCCTGGTAAAAGGCTCAGAGTCCTGTTTTCCTCTGATTTTGGTTGAGGAGCCAGTCCGTGCTCACGTTGTTGACTCTCAGCACTGCCTCATGTCCACTTTGGGAGAGCTGGGTTAGAAAAGGTTCTCCTGGAATGTTCTCTCAGACTTAGACTCTTCCCCTTTCTGGACTAGAGGATGTGCATTCTTGACGTTTCTGTGTGTGTCTAAGTGTCCTCCTATAATCCAGTGACGTCGGATTAGGGCCAATCATTTTCATTTAAACGCCGATTTAAAGGCTTTATGTCCAAATACAGTCACATTCTGAGGTATTGGGGGGTTAGGCTTCAACATATGAAATTTTGGGGGACACAGTTCAGCCCATAACAGCCCTAGAAGACCAAATGCTTCATCTAAACCTATATTTCCACCCAGAACTCTAGGGGAAGAGAGTACCCAAAGTCCCCACCAAAAGTCTATCCATCAGGTCACCTTCCTGGTAATGGGCCTTTTTCGTCCTCCAGCTAATATGCCTGTGTCTGTGCTGGCCTCCCTGAAGAAGGCAGGGATGGAGGACTAAGATAAATACCTACAGGGTACAACCTGGGTTTTGTTCTACCCTAGGCTACACGTGGAAATAGAGTGGTGGTGGTAGAGGATGAGGATGCTAGCTGCTAGTGGAAAGGAGGCAGGCTGGCTGTGTCCTGGAGTTGATTCAGTGTGAAGCGAGTGGTGACACTTGATGGCTGTGCTGTCTGTCCAGGCCTAGTGATTTGGTCATTATGGTGGATGATGGTCGTGGTAAACAGCTCTCATTGAGACCCCCAGAATGCCAAGCCGTACGAACACATGTACATTATCTGCACCATGGGACACACTCCCCATCCTTTCTGAGGGCAGCTGCTGCCCAGTGTGGGCTTCTGCCACCAGCCTGCCTGTTGGCACTGGAGCCCGTCCTCTTGTGTAGGCACGTGGTGGGTGTGGGCAGGTGCCTTCTGCCCCTGCAGTCAGGTGCACAGAACTGGGCCTGCCCTTAGCTGGGTCTGAGTACTTGGCAGCCCTGCTTGTGAGATGGGCGGTCCGTGCGGTGGCCTCTCCCCAGCCTTTCCAGCCTGCAGTCCCGACGGAAGCCTGGCAGCAGCTCCCGGCCCAATGCAGAGCATGTCAACGTGGAGAAGAGGCAGCTGCGGACGTCAACTTGGGGCCCCAGCACCAGCCATGGTCACGGCTAGGCCCCGCTGGCCTCCTGGGCTGGGTGGAGCCCTTTGCTTTGATTTCTGGCCTGGTCCAGGGGAACACCGGTGTGGTATTTACAGTTGGGGATGGACCGGCATTTTCTGTGCCAGTGCAAGCCCTCATCCAGCTGCAGTCATACTTGTTGAAGCCTTTCTCCGGGTGCCCTGGACTGCCAGCCTTGGCAGTTGGATGAAGTAGCACTGGGGTGTTTGCAGGCTGTGTCTGTAATTGCTGGGCTCCTGGGACTGGGTGGCTCAGCCAGTCTCTGAAGTTATGCATTGTGCCAGGGTGTGGCCCGGGGAAACAAGCACTTTATTTCCTGCTTCCAAGTCCATGGTCCTCTGTGTTAGGGGTTTTGGCAAATGTGGCAGTGGGTCCCCCAGCTATTTTTGGTGTTTCCATCCAGCCTGCAGGGAGGAGGAAGGAGCTGGAGGTTGAATCGGTCATCATTGGCCAATAATTTTATCAATCATGTCTCGGTAATGAAGCCTCTGTAAAAACCCAAAAGGACAGAGGTCAGAGAGCTTCCAGGTGGCGAGCGCGTGGTGACTGGGAGAGAACGGTGCGCGCCGAGAGGGCGTGGAAGCTCTGTGCCCTTTCCCCATGCTTTGTCCTACGTATCTCTTCGTTTGGCTGTTGACTCATATCCTTCAATATCCTCTTAGAGTTAAGTTGGTGATCTAGTCAGTAACATGTTTCTCTGAGTTCTGTGAGCCGCTCTAACAAAGTAGTTGAACCCGAGGAGAGGGGCTCATGGGAACCTCTGCCAGTCAGAAGCACAGGTAATAACCTGGGCTTGGCAACTGGCATCTGAAGTGGAACTTGGTCTCACGGGACTGAGTCTGGAATCTGTTTCTATCTCCAAGTCAGAATTGAGTTGAATTCCTGGACACGCTGCTGGCGTCTGACAGTTGCTCGTTGGTGTGGGGAAGCTTCCACAAGCACGTGTTGGAATTGGGTCTGGGAACCATTTTCACCTGCCTAATGACCTAAATTTCAGGGCTGTGTTGACCACCCCGTGGGAAGGCCTGGTGTGTGGCGAGGGCTCTGGGGCCAGGCACCTTGTGAGGGCCCTGCCTGGTCTCCCGGTTTTTCACACCTGCGCTGACCCTGAAACACTCCTGTCTTCTCCAGTTATCCAGCCAGCTTCTGCTCCATCACTGGTGATAACGAAGGCACAGAGAATAGCTGAGTAAAATTCAAACCTACTAATTCTGCACTTAGTAATGCAGGTCGATGAGTGGCAAACATGAAGTTTTGTGAGGACTTCTGTTTTTCTGGGCTCTCTCCAGCTTACAGATAGAAAATGAAGAAAGACCAGAATTTTTAGTGGGTGAAACGTACTTTCTGCTTTGGACCCTTTATGTTACATTTTTAATAACTTGCCGTCATGTTTTTGGTCTGGCTGTGCTTGGTTTCCTTCATGGCAAGTCTCTGGAGGCTTCTTGGAGGTTTCTCTTTTGCATAAAAGTTAACTCTGCTTCCACTTCTCTTTCTGTTTGACTGTACCTTTAATTTGCTCCTTTCCCCCCATCAGTTGCATCTTGTGATACCGCAGAGTTGTGTAGGAATTCTTGAAATGTGGAATTTTGGGCTCAAGTACTACAGAACGTGGGCTGTGCCCGTGTCTCCTCCAGGCACATGGAGATGGCTTTACCCCTTTTCAAACCCGACTTGGGGCTTGTCCTTGACATCGATGGGCAGAGCATCATCTTGGGCTTGAGGAGTAACTAGCACAGCATGATCTGGTCTGTGGACTTGGACTCAACAGAAGGGCCGGGTGACCATGAAACATTATGTCAGTTGGTCAAAGGCCCAAGTATGTTGAAACATTCTTGGGCCAGTTCTCTTAAGGTGCCCATTAAGCTTTGTTTCTTTGGAAGGTGGAAGTGAGTTGGACGGTTAGAGCTAAGCCATGCTGGGATGGAAGGGCTGGGCTGTGGGAGACGTGGGGTCAGACCCTGATAGAAACAGCAGTGGTGTGAGAGGCTTGTCTTCTATCATGCAGTTCAAGCAAGTAGAACTACATTACATTTGTTTTCTTCTTTCGGATAGGACTTTGCATAGCACCACTTTACTGGCACAGGGCTGGCCTGGCCTTGCTCCCTCCAGTCTGCTCTGCTGTGGTGACACCAGCTGGCCTGCAGGGCTCCACACTTGCTGGGTCCCGAGCACCTTCCTTTGTTAAGCTGGTTTAACACTCCTGAAGACACCAGAGCAGTGTTTAGCATCTCGAGGCGGGGTCTGAGACACAGGAGATTCGCCATGTGGTCAGTGGTGACGTTCTTTTGTAGTTTGCATTTGTGGCGATGTGAACAGCCACCCAGGCTGCCACTCATTCTCATTTCTGAACCTTTCATGCGCTGCACCACCTGGGAGGCTTAACACACACGAGCTACCGAATGTCGGAGGTGTGTGCAATATGTATTAGATTTGCTCTTGAGGTTTTCTTCCTTATTTTAGATCTAGGGCAAGACAGCATGACTATTTTTAATATTTCAAAGGAGAGTGTTCGAGATAAATGCATAATAGCACCAGAAGGCAGGGTTCATAATGCAGTGCGCGCACGGGAGCCACGCTCTCGATGCCGCGACCTGTGAGCCTGCTATAGCTTTTATTATTCCCCCCACATTTCTGTTTTAAGGGAAGGTGGGGATAGTAAAACAAAGCAAGGGTTTATTTTCTGTTAATTCTTCTCAGTGTTTCATGGAGATTAATTGTTGATACTCAAACAGCGTATATGTCAGGAATTTAAAAGTCACGTACGCTTGTCACTAGAGCGGACTTAACTTTAGGTAGTAATATCTTGTGTGTGGGCAATAAAATAATTTTAGATATTATTGCCAAATTTTTAGAGTTACTAACTTCTCCTGAAAGCAACGAGAAAATAAAACAAAATCTTACTTGCCATATTCTTTTTTTTTTTTTTTTTTGCGGTACGCGGGCCTCTCACTGCTGTGGCCTCTCCCGTTGCGGAGCACAGGCTCCGGACGCGCAGGCTCAGCAGCCATGGCTCACGGGCCCAGCCGCTCCGCGGCATGTGGGATCCTCCCGGACCGGGGCACAAACCCGTATCCCCCGCATCGGCAGGCGGACTCCCAGGGAAGCCCTATTTGCCATATTCTTAATTTAGCTTGTCATTAAATGTTAGCATTCTGAAAACAACAAAATGCAGCACCAACCCAGCATAATCTTAGCACGTGGTTTTTAAGAACTAACAAGTGGCCAGTATTTTACTATAGTGTAAATCAGAATCTCCCAGTCCTTTTGGTGTTTGAAATACTCTAATTTCTGGCTTAAAATTCTTTTTCCTCCAACATACTTTCAAAAAAAAATGTTCTGTGACATAACTTTTTAAAATTAAAATGGGTGCGAATTATTTTTGCTTGGATCGTGTTCTGGGAAGTATCCAGAGGGAGCATGGGTGAGGGAGGAGAACTGGCGTAGGAACGTCAAGGCACTTGGCTTGGAGTCTCCTGTGGACTGGCCGTGGATGTCTTTGTAGATGGAGGTGTGTTCCAGTCAGGAAGCAGTGCCCCCGCCATGCTGTCTTTAAAGGCATTAGTGCTTTGTTTCCCATGGCCTCATCTTCCTCGAGATCAAAAGCATGACTTCTCATAGGTGAAACAGAGCCACCTCCGACTCTTGAGTTACAGTCCCAAACAACGGCACTGTGTTCTGTTCACTTAAAGACGTTTTTTTAAAAAATTGAGGCTCTGGTGTGTGCACAGCACTGACTTAGGTATACTGTGTGTTGTAACTAGTTATGACACAGTGTTAAAGTGAATTAGAAGGAGGAAATCACCGTCAGCAACTGTCTGCTGCTGGACGTGGGAGGATCCAGCTTCTCACTGTTCAGCAGCAAAGTCTAGGTTTTACACAAACCACCTGTGCAGGGTAAAACGGAGCGTTTTCTTTTCCTTTACTGTTAATGGATGGTAGAAAATCATCACTTATTCTCTGCACACATTTAAATTTGTACACTTTGATACATTTTGACATGTTTACACCCATGAAATCATAAAACTCATGATAATCCTTCTCTCCCCACTTTCCCCAGTCAACCTCTGATCTACTTTCTGTCCCTATAGATTAGTCTATATTTTCCAGAGTTTTATATAAATGGAATAATACAATACATACTCTTTTTATCTTTTCACTCCACATAATTATTCCTGCATTCATCCGTGTTGTGTGCATCAACAGCTCGTTCTTTTTTATTGCTGGGTAGTATTCCATGGTATGGATATGCCGCTGTTTGTTTATTCATTCACTCTGTCAGTGGATGCTTGGGTGGTTCTATAAATAAGCTAAGAACATTCCTTATGTCAGTGATAATTTAAACTTAGCTTTCCCCCCAGTCTTTCCCTTTCTGCAAAGTGAGTTTAGTAAGATTAATTTTTCTCTTCCTCTTTTTGCATTAGGCAAATTAAAAGGAAGAGGAACAGACTTTCTGGGTGGACCAGCATTTCTCTTGGGTAATACAATCAGATACCAGATTTGTAGCATTTTTGAATATCTGTTTTTAAAAGCAGGCAACATTTTTCAAGAATATAGAAGCAGCCCTGGAAAAAGTTACTAAATGATTGCAATTACTTGGATGTGTCCTGTGCCAGCAAAGCTGCAAGCTTCCTGGCAACCTTGGAAACCACCCTGGAGGGATCCTGACCCAGAAGGAGGCAAAAGAGGGTCATAAAACTTAAGAATGCATGAATTTGTTGTTGCTGCTGCTTTTAACTCTGAAAGTGTTCGATGTAAGCGCTTGTGTCCCTGGACCCCATGTTAGTTATTGAAGTACAGCAATGGAATGGCTTAAAATTTCTTGTCATTTATAACCCTGTACCTAGTGATTCACAGTAAAGGGGGCATCCCTGTCTGCCCTGCACCTCTTCGCCCTCCCTGAGCCCCGGGGCCGTCCGTCTACAATTGTCTTGTGCTTTTCCCCCGTCTCTTCTTACCGCCTGTGGGCTGGCCAGACGATGGCCTGCAGGACCGGACGGTGGAGGAGAGGCCTGTCTGGAGACATGAGCTGCTTAGCTGCCTTCCTCATCAGGTTTCTAATTTGGCTTCTGTCTTCCTTTTTCCAGTGGTGACCAGATTCAGAGCTTCCTACAAGTCAGGCTCACCCCAGTGTGCCCAGAGTATTTCTTTCAGTGTGGGTGTGAACTTTATTCTTGTTCATCTGGGAGTCTAGAGAGACACACTTAGGATTGTTTTTTAAAGAAGAATTTTCTAGACTGTTACTGAACAGTGCGGTAGCGTCACCGATAGGAAATCTAATTCTGCTGGCGTAGCAGCAGACCGTCAGTCAGTTGACCCAGTAAACAAGCCTCAGGACTGGCCATCAAGGGTCGTGCCCTTCCCTGTCAGAGGGAAGCTTGGCAATCCCCTTCAGTCCCTGTCATTGCAAATCTGATGATAGGCTTATGGGCAGAACCTACTCCCTAATGCCCCCAGAGTCTTAAGAATGCTTTGATTCTGTGTCCCTTGTCTCTGGAATCTGTAGAGATAAGGGTTTCCTGTTTTGAGTGGCAAGTGATTTTACTGGTAGAATGGCAGTTCCCTCAGTTTTTAGCTTTTATTTGGGGCGGGGAGTTGTTAATTTCTGGGAGATGGTACAGTTTGTTCACCATGGAGGCACGTTACTGGGAAGGTAGACAGGTGGTTAGGGCTGTTTCAGATCTCTGGTGTCAGTACGGCACCCGCGGACAGGAGGCGGTGGCAGAGGCAGAGAAGAGGAGCTGGGCTCTGAGCTGTTGGGCCGTGGAGTGGATGTGTCCTGAGTGAAGAGAGTCTAGAATGACTCTCTGATTTCGGACTTCAGGTAGAGATGGTGGTGATATGCGTCAAAGTAGGAATAAGGAGAGCAGGTTTGAGTATAATGTCTAGCCCAGTCGCTGTTGTGCTGGGTTGACTGATCTCAGGAACGCCGTGGGCTTGACTGATGTCTGATCTGAAGGGTGAACATGGACCTGGTGCCGGGGAGGGAGGTTAGTGTGGGAACGCAGGTCTGACAGTCTCCTGGGCCTGCCAGGTAAGACCGTGGGCGTGGATGGGCGCTCCCCGGGGAGGGCACTGGAGCAAGAAGGTGAGAGAGCTCATGCGGGAGGGCAGGGACCCACAGTGGGGGCACCAGGAAGGAGAATTGCCGCTGCGGCTGAGGGAGCGTCTCAGGCAGGGTGGAGACAGTGCTGCAGAGGGGTCTCAGGCGCGAGAGGAGCTCAGACTCGGTGGCAGTTAAGAGACATAGGTGGCCTGGTAGGGCTTCCAGTTTCCGTGGCTTGGCGGGGGAAAGGCCCCACGACAGAGGATAAGAGCATCTTGTCCTCGGAGCTCAGAAGAGAGCTGACAGGCATTCTCTGGGAAAGGGGAGTAGGCAATTTTAAAGGTGATTTGGCCGGAGCACCTAGTCTACGGCGGGTCTGAGTTTCCCTTTTTTAGGGATTGCTAAGTTCTGTTGTGGAGTCAGACCTTTTGGGGCACGGCTTTAGGATTTAGCACAATGATGGTAGTGTTTCAAAGTTACTGGAAATTAAGAGAGAAGCTTCTGAATTTCTATTTACCAATGCAAGGCTTTGAACCTCTGCAGAAGTGCAGGCTCATGGGTGAAGGCTCTGCCCGCACGGTGTTCTTGAAAGGCCTCTCCCCCCGTGAGTTGTGCCTGTGACGCCGCAGCCCTGAACGCAGTGTGTGCGGAGTGGTCTTGTTGGCCTGCTGTGGGAAGGGAGCGTTTCAATGAGCCGTGGGGGTGGAGGAGCTCCAGGAGGGGAGAGGAGAGCTCTGGCAGAGCATCGGGCCGGCTCCTGGGGCGGTGCTGAGGGGCGCCTCGCTGAGTCTGGTTAAAAAAAAGAACCCTGTGAACCCTCAGTGATTGGTGTACTTGTAATTTATTCCTATTCGGATATTTGTTTCTTTAGGCCTGTCAACTACTTGGTCACAGAATTCCAGATCCCAGCACAGGAGAAGTTCATGCTCCAGACATGAAGATCGAAAGCCTTCAGAGGTATTTCTTGAATGCTGGCGTGACTGTGCGTGTCGTACGTGTGTGCGTGAGTACATATGGTTGACACACACACCTGGTTGGTTGATAGTGGTGTCAGTCTGTGCATTCTTGGGCAAGTTACTTAACCTCTCTGTGCCTCAGTTTCCAAATCTGTAAGATGGGGATAATACAGGTGTTCACCTCGTAGGAGTTTTGTGAGAATTAAGTGGGTTAACACCCAGAGGTTAATATGTAGAGGGTAAATCCTGCTCAGTAAATGTTAGCTATTATTATTATTAATTCTTTTCATTTTTTTTTTTTTTTTCCTTCTCTGTTTCACCTTTGCTGGCTCCCAGCAACTTTTCCTATGGCCTGGAGATCAGCATGTTCAGCTGCTGCTGGTCACTGCCAGCCTCAAGTTAGTTTTAGTCGTGAATTTGTGGTTTGTTTGGCAAAACCCAGTGTAATTCTGGGATTCTGTTTAGGGGATTATGCTTAAGGCTTTCTCCCCTTCTTTTGAAATTTGTTTCTCACCTTACATTTCCCTGCTCCCTCACATTTTGTTATTATCTACCTATCTGTCATCTATCCAAAATTGTTTTTGGGTGAGTTTCTTTGTGGCTTTTGTTGGTTAGGGGCCCCTCCCACTCCTGAGATCTGTGTTCTCTGAAAACCTTGGACTGGGCTCTGAGGATCTAAGTGATGGAAGAAAAGGCATTTCAGTTTGTCACAGTGTTTAGGTGAGCAGGTTATGGGGAAGAGAGTTTTCGGTCCAGCCCCTTGGTTTTGCACTGCCTCTTAGTGGGATGACTTCAAAGACAGCCTCATCCCGTAGCGACTGAGCAGAGGCCGCCATCCATGAGGAACTTCTTCGACGGTAGCAGGGAAGCCGGGGGCGCTGTGTTGAGCGTAGGATTCTTTAGTTGTGGAATAACTTCCTCCACGAGGAAGTAGCGTATAATATACTTCAGAATTGTGCGAAACCATCCCAGGGGACACTTAAACATTAGATCAGATGCTCACGAGAAGGTGCCCGTTTTATCACCTTGACTTATTCCAGGCCTTTGTCCTTTTGAATCTGCAGCGCTGCCTTCCTTTCCTCTGGTATCGGGAGTGACTCTGCTGCTCTTTTTTCTCTCTTTAATTCCCTCCACAGCCCCCTCAATACCCTTCTGATGTCCACACCGCACTCCTGTTATTTCAGGGCAGGAATTCAGGGTGCTCCAACAGGGAGCTGATACCTGTGTGAGAGCACCGGTGCCCCGGGTGCAGCTAGAAACCCCTCCCAGAGTCGGCACTGGCAAGTGTGGATGGTGCCAGTCTTGTCCCTGACCTGTGTTTTGTTCCAGCGTTGTTTTTTTTTTTTTGGATGGAGTGCTAAAGTGGAGCCCTGCTGGGGACTCAGGAGCTCACGTCCATGTGAGGGCATCTGTTTCAGTCCCTGACCGTCCTCATCCAAGTCCCTGAGCGCAGGGACGTTGGGCTGCCTTTTCTCATCTTGTTGCTTCAGTCTGATTTTCCTCCTTGGGCAAAATCCCTTACTTGTTACTTACCAGACTTAGCTGGAACGTGTTTTTAACTGATGTGCTTCCTGAAGGTGTAGATCTGTGACTTTGTTTGAAAGGACTTTTTGGGGGTCTGCAGGGCACGGCTGACACAGTTAATGCTCCCCGGGGCGCGGGCGGGCATCTGCCGCAGGGCTCGGTGCTGCAGGGGGGCCTGATCTTGTGCTTTTGTGTGTGGGGGTGCACAGCCAGGTTCTTGCTTGTTACTGGGACTTTAGAGATGAGGAGTGGCAAACTGGGGGCAAGTCGGGCCCCAGACGGCCGGCTGGAGACGTGGCCCTCTTCCTCAGACACTGCCTCAGACTTCGTTACGGTGACGTTCATTTAAGTGATCACCAGCCCGAAAAGCCACCGGGAAAAACAAATACGGACCTATTAGCAGGCGTATAGTGTGAACTGTGCTTAGCAGCACAAGAAGGAACTCCCTGTCCCAAGAAGAGAGAGTTCAGCATTGTGACTTGTGTAAACAGGGAGTGTAGCTTACAGATGCAGGCACACTTGGTGCCAAATACAGCTTTGGGCCGGCGCTAATGCCAGGGTCAGAGCTTCCTCGTGCGGCCCTGGGACAGGAGTGGGCTGGGCTCCGGCCGCCTCCCCCCCCCTCCCCCGCCAGGAGGAGCGGGCACGCGGGGGCCACCCTTGTGCTGCTCCCCTCCTGGCCCCAGATGAGGGCCGAGGGGTGCTTTTGAGTCTTGTGCGTCTGTTTGTGGCAGGGTGAAGACAGGGTGGTAGCTTGCTTGCTTGCTTCTTTCTTCCTCTCTTGTCTCCTCCCCTCCCTCCCTCCTCTCCTTTCCCCACAAATGCTGCTTTCCTAGTAGAAGTTATGCTGGGTGAAGGTGTGCAAACACATTCTTTACCAGCCCATTTTCTACCTTGCCTCCATTGGTGTGTCGTTGCTTCTCTCCCAGATGTTTCCATCCTGTACTCTGCCCGGCTCTAGCCAACCAGGACCCGCCCTCCCCGGACACCTTGCTGTTAAGCCCAGGTGCCTGGGCAGGTGGGAGGTGGGGAGAGGCAGTCTGAGTAGAGAAGAGGGGTCCCTGGGGGCTCTGGGTTTTGGCTTGGAGTTGTTACATGGTTAGTGGAGTTTTATTTCTTAAACATTTACAAGAAAGTCACCCTTGAGTGAAATATCTCCCTCCAGGGATTTTTTAGGCGCGTGTTTTCAGCAGCCTGCTTGGTGAATTGGGAGTTCTTAGAAGTTTTTCCGGGGACGGCAGCGAGGTTCCTGTGTTGCAGTAGCTGGTGCGGACGTCGCCATCTCTCGGAGCTGGCGAGGGAGGGAGGGCAGTGTGAGCTGCTGCCACCTCCGACCCTGAGCGAGGCCCAGGGCGTGGCAGGCCGAGGGGTTTCCTGTAATAGGTCAGACTGGTTCTCTGTTGAAACAGTGACCTTGTTACGTGGCAGCTCCATGGTTACCCTGCAGCTGCCAGCGCTCTGAGTAAGAATGCAAATATCCAATGTCAGTGACCCTTTCTTTCCCTTTCCAGGTGTTTAGGACAGACCTGATCACTGCCATGAAGTTGCATGACTCCTACCAGCTGAACCCAGATGAGTACTATGTGCTGGCAGATCCCTGGAGACAGGAGTGGGAGAAAGGGGTCCAGGTGCCGGTGAGCCCTGGGACCATCCCTCAGCCCGTGGCCAGGTAGATGTGCCCCAGGGGAGGGGTGCCGCCTCTCCCCTGACAGTTGCCTTTCTGCCCTGATAGCCGGGTGCCTGAGAGGAGGAGCAGTGGTGTTTGGGTCAGCAGTGAGGCTTCTGGGGAAAGAGAAATGCAGTAGAAACACACCTCAGGTCCGAAGGTAGTGCTTTTAAGGGCCATGGGCCTCCGAACTTAACATTGCAGCCAATTGGGAAGGTGCCTCTCTCTTAGGAAGGTAAATTCCAAGGCTCCCTGGGAAGTGGCTGGCTGCGGGGGAGGGACATTTGGATGTTTGCACAGCTGCTTCCCCTCTCCCTCTGGAGGGCCGCTGTGCTGGAGAGAGGTGCCTGTCATCGGTTGGGTCCTGCGTGGTCCCTCCACCTCTGGGGGAGGACGGGTGTGAGCAGTCCTGCCAGGTTCGGGTCCCGCGGGCGGGGAGCTTAGCGGAGGAGTGTGTTGAGGAGTACTCCTCGGGTGGGCTTTCTCTGGATTTACTTCTAACCACTTTTCTCCTTAAGGGTCTTGAGGGTCGGCTCTTCGCTGACCGGCTTCAGCGTGAAGCTGGGCCGGTTTTCTTGTTTCCTCTCCGGCCGGCTCCACTGGCCTTGAGGCTCCTCGCGGGGCGAGGGAGCTGAGTGCCCTCTGTGCTCAGCTGGCAGCCGGCTTTGCCGCCGCTGCGTGGTCAGTCACCTGCCTGCTTTGCGAAATGACCTCTTTCACCGTTGCCAAGTGTGGACTGAACTTAACCCTTGGCCCTCACCCACGTCCTGTCCCTCAGGCACTGGCGGTGGTCGAGTCTGGTTATTGTGTCTGGGATCTCTGTGACAAATGTCCCCATAAAGATGCAGGCTGAAACGACGCTCCGATGCCTCCACAGGTCAGACTGCAGCCTGTGGAGTGGACGGAGGGTTTCACTGGGCTCTGTGGGAGAAACACGGTTTGGTTGCCTCAGGGTTGCCTCTGGGGCACAGTACCGACTAGCTGTGCAGCACTGACGATCCCAGTCCAGGGGTTACGAGCCTAGCACAAGATGAGTAAACGCTAACACGGCTCATGGAAGTGTCAGCTAAAACCCTGCCCTTAGCTGAGTGGGACGAACAGCTCCCTTAACCGTGCCTGTCTCCGTGTCCTGTAGGTAAAGCCACCCTGGTAATCACAGGGTGACGGAAACACCTCGACGGCCTCTTTGGACAGCTGGGTGTTAACGCGAGCTGCCGGCACGCTGCGACATGCAGGTGGAGGGCCGGTGGCCGTGGGGTGCTCCCCAGGCGCCTCACTGCCCGTCGGCAGTGGTTCGCCCTCTTCCTGCACTTTCTTTTGCGGGGGCCGGCAGTTCTCCAGGCGTTCCCGGGGCGGGGGCGAGGGTGCAAGTGCAGGAGCGGAGGGCACTTGTGCTCCTCCCTGGGTCCCCAGCTGTGCCGGGAGCATCCCGCCCGTGGCTGGGACTCTGGCTCTCAGACTGCTTAGCGATGGACAAGGCCTGAGTTCTAGAACCAGAGGTGACGGGTTTCTCCCTTTGGCTTCCCGGCCTTCTGCTGTGTGTGCCCTGCCATGCGGCTGCTCTGGCCGCCTCCGTGTCCCTGAGAACCCAGGGCTTGGTGGCCTCCAGCAGGGGCGGGCAGGCCTGGTTAGTGGAAAGTGATGTAATCTTTAACCCTTGACACTGCTGTCACAGCTGGTGGCTGGGCACGGCAGCGTCCTGGGAGGCCACGTGGGAGAGGCTGATTTTGAAGACTTCTGCAGCGTTTTCACTTGCATCTCTTTCTATTTTAGGGGTTTTAACGACTCCTGCTTTGCTTTATCAGCGGTGGCGTTAGGGTTTTAACTCTCTGAACCCGGCAGTGACCTAAGGTTTGGGGATTGGAGGTGGAAGCTCGCTTGGGGGCCTCCTGGCAGACTTCCTTTCTTGTGGCAGGAAGGGTGACCTGGCTGCCTTGTTTTCTTGTTAACCAGGGTCGTGTCTGAAGAGAAGTCCCTCATGTTCATCAGGCCCAAGAAATACATCGTCTCGTCGGGCTCCGAGCCTCCAGAGCTGGGCTACGTTGACATCCGGACGCTGGCCGACAGCGTGTGTCGTTACGATCTCAACGACATGGACGCTGCGTGGCTGGAACTGACCAACGAGGAGTTCAAGGAGATGGGTGAGAGGCGGGGGCTCTGGTGCTTGGCCGCGGACGATGAGCGGCGAGTGCGTGAGGCCCGCGGTTCAGGGGCGAGGCTCCTCACCGCTGGCGATGCCAGCTCCGTCTCGGCCTCAGCCCGGTCTCGGGATCACGGGCTCTTTGTTGGAGATGTGCGTGTCCTGCTGCGGCAGGTGTGCTGAGAGGGACTCAGTCTGTGTGCGTCTCGTGGACAGAGAGGTGGGATCGAGGAGGGGTGTCTTCCACGGGCAGGAAAGCGGGGGCTCCCAGTTCCTGCCCTGCACCCCGCAACCCTGCCGGTTACCTCAAGAGAACTGAGGCCCAGAGAAACGCAGCGCTTCCCCGAGATCGCACGAGGGTCTGGTCCACAGTTTCCTGCTCCGGTGTTCTGTTTCTTCCCCCTCCGGCGGTGCTCTTCGGATGCCGCCTTCTTCAGCCGTGGCCTGCAGTTTCTCACAGGAGACGCCACTCCAGCCAAGCTCACCGTTTTCCAAACACATCCCTCGTGTTCTCACCTCAGTGATTCCCCTTGGGTCCTTTTCCAAACCTGAGTGCTTTCTCCTCTCACCCGTCGATGTGTCCTGGCTTTCCTTTGGTGAAGCCCTACCTTAGCTGGGTGCCCTGCCCATTGCGATCTTTTCTACAAGTCAACTATTCTCGTGTATGTACGGCTCAGAGGACCTCGTCTGCTTGCATCTCCTTGTGTCACGACCAGGAGGACACTTGGATCTCGGCTCACACACCACTTCAGGTTGCTAAGGGTTGCCTGAAGTGTGGTGATGGCAAGTCAGGGAGACCCAGTCTGGGCTTCCTGTGAGAGACGTGAGGATTCATTAGCATGTGCTGTATGTAGGTCAAGGTCGGGAAGTGGTGGCACAGGCTGTCTGTGTGCAGTCTAGCACATGGTGAATATCTACGGAGTGTTTCATGGTGGATTTCAAAGCCCTGAAGGGCCAAGACTTTGTTTCATGTGGAAGCCTGAGCCCAGCACAGGGCCTGGCGTGTGACAGGTGCTGCCATGCGTGCTGCTCCCCAGCCTTTGAATGGGAACGATGGTGTGGACTGAGCTGGGAAAGCTGTTACTCCGATATTTTGATAAAGTAGATCTCCTTCCTTTTGGTCCTTGGTTTTAGGTATTAGTGGCCAGGATGTTAGCAGGCTAGGAGGTGGGGGTCTGTTCGGAAGTTTTCAGTGGTCTCTTGGAACTGAGTACTATGTTTTAGCTTCATAGACTATAAAATTCTACTTTGTAAAGACAGCTGTAACGCACTGGACTGACTGGGTGTCCTGTGTTAAGGCAGAGGGACAGACGGCCAGGGACCGGGGGCTTCGGTGGGTGGTCTAGGTGGTGAGTGCTGGGCTTACTCGTCAGACTGCAAGGCGGAGCTGAATACTTGGGCAGGATGAGCGATGCAGTTGTAGAACATGTATTGAACGCATGCGTAAAGGCGTTTGTCTTAGCTTTTATTGGTCTTTTTAATGGTAGAAATGAATTATAGGGCATAGGGCTGTATTTTCAAAGCCAGTGGTGTTTTCGGAACTGGTAGGAGGAATTGAGATGAAACCTCCTGGCCGCGCAGAAACGACCTCGTCATGAAATAAGGTTTGAGATGATAGGTGGCTTTTTTGACTGTGTGTTTAGGTCTTATCACAGTGTCAGCGCTAATGTGTGCTCCAAGTTTTCAAAAACTTGGAAGTCTTAATTAAATCTATGATAATGCATATAAGTTGTTGTTGGCCCTAATGACACTTCTGTTGTTTCTTGCCAGTTACATGTGTTTGAATATTTTTTACAAGCTGTTTTTTTCTTTCCTGCATGAGTATTTTCATTGTAGGAAGTTTGGGATACGTCCGCAGATGGAAGAAAATAAAAGTCTCATCCCCACCACTAGCCGTAACCACACCATGATAACCGCCTGAAGTTTGTTTTTGGCCGTTCTTGCATAAGAATGCATTTTCTTTGATTCACCAGGAGCTGTCTGTCTCCTTTGCTTGAGACGTCCCTTGTGTTTCCGTCTTTCATGTGTCTGACTAACTATGCATCTCAGCTTAGTAAATTCAGAGGGTGAGGAGGGGATAAACCAGGTAAAAAACATTTGAGCGTTCACAGTGAAATCTGTTCTCGGCACCATTTTAAGTACCAAGAATGGGATGTGTTTTTGGAAAAAATGCCCAAACCATAATAGGTGGTCATGGTTTTGAAGTCACTTACACGCTAGTTGGTATATATAATACTGTAATGAAACGACAGTCTAATGATATATGCATTTAATAGCCTGGAACCATTTTGGGAATGATCTTTTTACAGCAAGCACTCCATCTTCAGTGCCTGACCGTGCCTGACCGTAAACTGTTGGGTGGAAGTCTCTTTCTGCCTCTGAATTTCAAGACCCTTCCTTGGAAGGGTCTGAGGGACATCCAATAGAAAATATTTGGGGGGCACTCAGGAGAGATTTGTTTATAATATTATTTATTCATTGTGCATTTTTATTAGTATGAATAGTATTATGTTTATTAATACGGGTTTATTAAAATGGTTTTGTGGCATTTTCCCTCCAGGAATGCCTGAGTTAGATGAATACACCATGGAAAGGGTCCTGGAGGAATTTGAACAGCGATGCTACGATAATATGAATCATGCTATAGAGACTGAAGAAGGCCTGGGGATTGAATATGACGAAGACGTGGTCTGTGACGTCTGCCAGTCGCCCGACGGTGAGGACGGCAATGAGATGGTGTTCTGTGACAAATGCAACATCTGTGTGCACCAGGTATGTGGGCAGCGGGGCCCGGAAGGAGGCCCCCTGGGGTGGTTCCTCCAGACAGGGTCCATGAGTTAAAGACGTGGGCCCATCTTTTTTGTTGCTGACAGGTGCTTAGTGTTTGAAGTATTTCTTGTTACTTTTACAACCAGGAGAACAGGATCCTCTGTGGACCTCATTCTTTCTTCGCATAGTGCCTTTATTCCCATCCACAGAAGTCAGGTTTACTGAGACTGTATGAGCCCCTCTGCCCTGCTCCAACACCTGGCTTTATAGCTATTGAGAACACTGGAGGGCAGGGGGCGGGGGGACTCTTGAAAAGGCGGTTAGTTTGCTGTGTTAGTTGCCCTTGCACGAGCTGGATGGCTTAAAAGAACAGACGTTTGTTGTCTTGCTATCTGGAAACTAGACGTCTGAAATCAGGGTGTCGGCAGGGCCACGCTCCCTCTGAAACCCGGACGGAGAACCTTCCTCGCCTCCTGGCGGTTTGCTGGCGGTTGTGGGCGTTCCTTGACTTGCAGCCGCACGACGCTGGTCTCTGGCTTTGCCGTCACTTTGTGTCCTCCCCACGCATCTGTGTCTTCACACGTCGCCATCTTCTTGTAAGGCCGCCGGTCACGCTGGATGAAGGGCCCACCCTACTCTAGTGTGACCTCATCTTAACTGACTACCTCTCCTGTGGCCCTGTTTCCAAACGAGGCCACATTCTGGGGTACCGGGGGTGTTAGGACTTACTTTAACATATACTTTTCGGACACTAGTCAACACATAACATTTGCTAACATGTCAGTAGATAAACGGAGCCCTTGAACAAGCGGAAAGGGTCCCCTTTTCTTGAAAGTTATTTCCTGTCCTCCGCGATGTCGAGGATTTGGCGGTTGCTTCAGTAAGGTTGGGCACTGGGTGATTTAAAAAGCTTGGGAGAATCTTAGTCTGGACCCTTACCTCTCTCGTTTATTTTTTTCATGCAGTAATGAAGTAATTTGTATTTCTGTGGGGACACGTGTTCACATACACTCTTTAGGTAATAGGCTCTCCAGAGGTACTTTCTTTGAATTCACCTGTTGATGCTGAGATTTAAAACCAACTTAAAGGGACAGTGGCTTGGGTGACCTCTTGGCAAGAAGAATCCAGTTTGCTTTGTGAAGTTCCTGACTATTGTTTTCTTTAGAATGTGTCTGCTTCCTGGGTTTCCCTCTGCCTGAGGACTTTACCAGCAGTGGCCTTGTCCCGTCTCATCCTGATGGGGAGACCACAGGTCTCTTGCTTATGAAGTCATGTTATAGCCCATCTGTAGCTCTGGGTTTTCAACTTATCTAGGTGCTTTCCTCGGGATAATGGAGAATTCTTAGAGAGATTTTTTTGTTTCAAGACGAGCGTTGTGGCTGCCATTGTTGCTTTTACGTTGTTGGTGCCATTGACTTGGATGATGTTTCAGTTCTTTTCCTGCCATTTTACTTCCCCCCCCCACCCCCCACAAGACAAATCTTGTTTGAAAAAAAGGGTTCTGCTTGAAAACTGCTCAAACCCTCTGCTTATAAATGAGTTAACTGAAGTCAGGGTGGGCTGTTCAGCGTCCCACTGCGGGTTAGTGGCAGAGCTGGAGCTGGAACTCGGGGAGCTCTGGACGACACCCACCCCCACACCCCCGCCCCGAGCCTGGTCTGCTGTTCTTTCAGCCACACCACGTTGCCTATTAGCATTTCCTGTGGTTCCTTTTGCTTTTGAGATGCTCTTCATGACTTGTCTTTCAGGCGTCCTCTATTTAATCTTCTATTTTATTTAGACTTGCTTTTCCAGTAAAAAAAAAAAAAAAAAAAAAAAAAATTACCTCTTCAAATGAGACTTTGTCTAGAGTGCCTGATACAGACCTTTCTGATATTTGAAACCTTAATCATGTCAGTTTGCGCTATTAAAAAAAAAAAATTTTTTTTTTTTTTCCTTCAGCAAGTCTGTGTTGACAGTGGCTCATTCATGGCACCGACACAGTACTCCTAAGCTCCAATCTTAGTGTCACTTAACTTCCCTGAACTATCATCCTGTGGTTTCCTTTTTGCGTCCTGGATATTCAGATTGCATAGTGGCTGTGTTTTTCCTGTCTGGAGAATTGGAACTATGTTACTGTCTCTCCACTTCCTGACTTGTAGTTCATTTAAGGATAAAGTTCTGAACAGTTTGGTGTTTTTAAAAGGCTCTGCATGTGCTCCTGGTACCATCATGGTGTTGTTTCTTCACTTCTTTAACGTTTGCCTTTTCTTTCTTTGAACCGTCTCAGTGACTTTAAGTTGCCTTGATTCCTGCAGTTTTTGCTGTCTTGTGTAATTTACCATCTTATGCAAAGCAGGCTTTGTTTTAAATATCCGCCAAAGAGACCAAATTCTCTTTGTCTAGAATGTCTCATTTTTCTGCGCCTGTTGTGCTCACTTGTGTGTGGGAGGCGGGCGGGGTGTCGGCGCCTGGTCAGTAGGGCTTGCTTAGCCCAGGGAGCGAGGCTGGTCCTCAGTTCCCTCTCCTTTTCACTGGTGTCTCGTGTAGTAGCTCTGGGAGGCTCTCAACTGCTTTGTGTTTTTTCCCCCCCTTTATAGCCCACCTACATCAGTAAATCAGAGAGGGGTGCCTTCCGCCATCTAGCCCTGGAGAGAGTTTTGAGGATTTACTGCCCAAGTATTTAGAAACTTGATATAGATGGGTATCTGTAGCAACACGGCAGATCTTTTACAAACCTTTCTGTCCTCAAGTAGTTTTCAGGACCACCCTCTGGTCGGTAAGTACGTTGTACCTCGTACCCACCTCCCGACTGCTGCTGTGAGGCTGCCCGGCACTCTTCCTGAAAGGAGTGCCTCTATGTTGGGGGTGCTTCTGTTAAAATCTTTCTAGGCGTTTTAAAATTCGTAGACACACAGGGTAAAAATAACTCTTTTTTTTTTTTTTTCTGTTTCTCTCTTTTCCTTGGGGATGTGCTGTGGCTTTACAGGCCTGTTACGGAATTCTCAAGGTCCCAGAGGGCAGTTGGCTGTGCCGGACGTGTGCCCTGGGGGTTCAGCCCAAGTGTTTGTTGTGTCCCAAGAAAGGTGGAGCGATGAAGCCTACCCGCAGTGGGACCAAGTGGGTCCACGTCAGCTGTGCGCTGTGGATCCCCGAGGTGGGTGCCCGTGTTGGTGGTTCACCTTGGGAGCCCGTGGCTGTTCGTCCTCACAGGGAGCCCTTCATCACTGGGCCACTTTGTAGCCGAGGAGTAAAAAGACACCTTTGAACTGCTACCCATTTTTCCACCTTAAATTGAATCTCGAGCATGCTGTCGTGTGGTCAGTGGTGTGTAAATTGGTGGAAACGTTAATTGGAGGCAGCCGTGAGTTGGATTCTGGGTGGAGGTGTTCAGACTTCCCTTCTGATGCCTCTGCAGCTGACCCTCCGCTGCTGTCACGCTCCCAGAAGCGGACCCGCGGCGTTCTTTTGTCCGCGCTGCGGCCCGGGTATGGCTCTGTCCTTTCCCTGGGATGGGCCGTAGACTCCTGGGCCCGGTGAGCCATGCATACAGCACCGTCACGGTTAAAGAACCACTGCCCTAGGTCACATTTTTGTGATTTTTTATTAAAATTCTTACTTGGCCTCAACCTTTTTAATTTCAGGTCTGGTCTAATTTATTTCAAGTCCCAGACCTTGACTGATTTAATTTGCTTGGCTCACTCTGAGACTATCATTTGTGATTCAGATTTCAGCATTTTTTTGGCATATGATTTTGGTGCATTTTCCTCCCGAGGAAAAGTATCTGGGAGTGATTTGGATTGAGGCTTCACGACTCGGGTCTTGGTAGCATGGGAATCGCACGGTTTGGTATTAACAGGGATGCAGTTCAGTGATCCAGGCTGAGAGGAGAGGGAGGGGACCTTACTTATCTTGGTAGTTTTCCGCTTTGTATGTAGTGATAGTTTCTGACTGAAGAGAATGGCTTTCTTTAGTGAGAGAGAGATTAAAAGTGGTCAATGTTTACTTCTGCTCCATCGTTCACAACTGATTGCAATATGTTTGAGACGGATTTCCAGTCCTGACCGCTTCTTAGCGGACCAGAGGTGTGGTAGATGGGTTACCTTGTCTTTGCTGTCACTCGGGTGAGCAGTGAGCATTGGGGTGTCTGAGTGTTTTTACAAACAGGACGTTTGTGTCAGATGACCCCCCGCCGAGGAGGGCGTAGAGTTGGCCCAGAGCTGGCCCCTAGCTGGCCCCTGTGCTGTCCTGATGCTTTAAAGTGGGGTTCTACCTGCGCTCGGAGGGTGAGTGCCCCTTGGCACCCTCTGGTAGGAGGACCGTGGGGGAGGAATGGATCTCTGAGTTGCTGCTGTCTGTGTCCGGCCCCTGTCTTGACGACCCCTGCCACCCTGTCTTGTTATTTCTTGGGCCTCCAGGTGAGCATTGGCAGCCCCGAGAAGATGGAGCCCATCACGAAGGTGTCTCACATCCCCAGCAGTCGGTGGGCGCTGGTGTGCAGCCTCTGCAATGAGAAGTTTGGGGCCTCCATACAGGTAACCAGCCTAGTCAGGATGGCATTATCACCCTTCCTTGTGTTCCAGGGAGCGGGACGCGGGAGGGCTCTGTGAGCTGACCGTCACAGGGCTTGGAGATGGGGCTAGAATCCAGGAAGCAGGACGAGGTTCTCACAGCCCTTCTGAGGTTGCTGAGGGACGTCTCCAGCCCAGTATACACACCTTCTGTTGGTGGAGAGTGTCCAGTGTGACCGGAACCCCAGCTGTAACCATCACAGGGCAACTCAGAAGTCCGCCTGAGCTGCAGGGCAGTTCCAGTTTGTATCTGGTTTCTCCCTCCCTGCCCAAAGCCTGGCGTTGCAGCTCTTTCCACAGGCCGACAGTTCTGGGGAAGAACTGGAGTCTCGGCACTGGAGGCTTAGTCACCCTCCCGCCTGCCGAGCGGCAGCCCTGCCTCTGTGGCTGCCCCCGACGCCGCTGGTTTCAGAGGTGTGCGCGTGGGGTGTCTCGGTGCAGTGCGCACTGTTGGAAATCAGCTTGGCACGCCAACCCTTTTGCATTTGGCAAAACGGGGACTCCTTGGAGCACCGACCGGGTGGGTGGAGGGACACCCATGAGGTGCTGCACCAGGGGTTCTGCCCAGTCTGAATATCTGATTTTTTTTATGGTACAGTGTGGGGGAGGGGAGCTCGTAGGTAAGAAGCCGGCCTGCGTTTTCTGTGTCCACGTACAGGCAGGTGTAGACAGCCATGAGGCAGATAACAGGATCACGGAGAGACTATTGATGGCGTGCTGTTTCTTGGTGTTGTCTAAAGCGCTGCCTGAGAAGTTCCTCTCCGGGCCTCACGTTTTTGGCGTCTAGACAGGCGTGACCTCGGAGGCCTGAGGTGCTGTCCCACCGCGGTCTCCAGATGCTGTCTGCGGCTGCCGTTGGCCCTTTGCCTCTGTGGGGGCCGCCAGCTCAGGGACGCCGGCCCCTCCTTGGTCCCCACGTCACAGTCCGTGGGCAGAGGTGCCGGTTTGGGGCGGCTGCCCTCTTGATGCAGGACATGCAACGGCTTGGCACACACACACACACACACACAGAGACAGAGACACACATAGACACACACAGACACACACACACAGACACACACACACTCTCTCTCTCTCTCTCTCTCACTCTCTCACTCTCACTCACTCACTCCACAAGCTCGGTCAAACTGCCGGTCGGGGCTTTTAAAGAAATGACCTCATTTGGCAAACTCAACTTGTATTTTGGCTGGTAAATATTCCTCTGTGTAAGGTATCCACTGACTGGTGTTTCTTTTTACAAGTTTTCATTTTACACGCCAAGCTGTTGTGCTTTTTCTTCCTTATCACTTCCACTGGTGTTCAAGAATCCAAAACGTAACAGAATATTCAGAGGGTGAGGCATGAGACAGCTGGTGGGATTTGGCTGTGGACCTTGAAAATAGTGCAGATTTTTGTATGTGAATGGAATCTGCTTAAAATTAAAACATGACAAAAGCCTCTGGCCTGAGCGTTGTGTTAGGAGGGAGTGAAGGAGAAATGTTTTAAAAGCCACAAAATAAAAGAAGACACAGAGGGGGGGGTGTGTGTGTGTGTGTGTGTGTGTGTGTGTGTGTGTGTGTGTGCAGACGGCCCGTGCGAACACTTGCAGGGAACAGGCTGGGGCAAACCAAGGAAAATGGACATCGTTTTCTTCCAAGTTACCCGGTGTTCTTCTGAGGTTAGAAATTACGCCCTTTACTGAGTAGGTCCTTCACTGATGTTTCCAGGAGGCGGTCGATTGGGATCTCTGTGTCTCTTTTGAAGAGAGACGATAAAATGACTTTTTTGTTGCCGTTGACCTCTTTTTCCCAGAACATGAATTTGAAGGAGGAGAGGCCAAGGAAGTTTTTGATGATTTTTCATATCTTCACAGAATAGACTGATTTTATTAAAGAATTCCTGTCTGAAATGTCTGCAGCTGGAAAGGCTCTGGCTTACGTTTCTGTAACATCTGTTTGCTGAGTCAACCTGAATAGGAAAACCCAGAGGAAGGCCATTTGGCGTCTTTACAAAGCCCCGTATAAATGTTCTGCCGTGGCGAGTTCCTCTTTTCAGGTCGGGGCGCTGAGTTGAAGTGTCGTTTAAGCCAAACACTGGTAGTGTCTCCGTCATCTGTTCCCACTTTACTTCCCACTTGGCTGCCTGCTAGGAGGGAGGAACACTTTGTCTTGTACTGATAGTGACCAGGTGTGTGTATGTGTGTGTGTGTGTGTATGTGTGTGTGTGTGTGTGTGTGTATACTGATAGTGACCAGGGGTGTGTGTGTGTGTACTGAGTGACCAGGTGTGTGTGTGTGTGTACTGATAGTGTCCAGGTGTGTGTGTGTGTACTGAGTGACCAGGTGTGTGTGTGTGTACTGATAGTGTCCAGGTGTGTGTGTGTGTGTACTGAGTGACCAGGTGTGTGTGTGTGTGTGTATGTGTACTGATAGTGACCAGGTGTGTGTGTACTGATAGTGACCAGGTGTGTGTGTGTAATGAGTGACCAGGTGTGTGTGTGTACTGATAGTGACCAGGTGTGTGTGTGTGTGTACTGAGTGACCAGGTGTGTGTGTGTGTGTGTACTGAGTGACCAGGTGTGTGTGTGTACTGATAGTGACCAGGTGTGTGTGTGTGTGTACTGATAGTGACCAGGTTGTGTGTGTGTGTGTGTGTGTTCTGCCACTAAAGCTGATTTCACACATTCCTTGGAATTGAGGTTATTATTATAGATAAAATTACAGATTTATGTTAGTTCATGCGCTTTAAGTGTTTTCAGTGGGGGAATTGATTTTCTGTGAAGGGAGCTAGATTTTCTGTACTTCTGGGTGAAAGCGACTTTTTAATAATGGAAGAAATCACGACTGGCAGTGAGTCACCTCTTAAAGGCTGCAATGATTGGGGAAGAAGCCCCGCCCACGCCGCTGCGATCTGTGGTGGTGCTGTGCAGGGCTCTGCTGAATGAGTTTAATTAATTAAGCTTCTCAGCTGGCCTGGGGCCACTCAGTTCTGCTCCTGTCTGCAGCCCTGGCGTGCCCGGATCCCTTGGCCTCACACAGTACAGTGTTGCTTTTTAAGGGACTGGCTTCAGTCACCACAGGGAGCCTCCTTCCAGGAATTCGCCCAGCAATATCAGATGGGGAGAAGTCACTTTTCTCCTGCTAGGTCTCTGGCCTGCCGTCTGGATCGGAGGCACTACGGGGTTCCCCTGGTGGGGCGGTGAGAGGGAGGGGGGAGGTGTTTGGTAAGGCCGGGGCAGAGCTGGGTGACGCCTGGCCTCTACGTTGACCTCCCTTCCACCCACAAGCAGCAGGTCCCTCACGGTTGCGCTGCCAGGCGAAGCGCACACAGATCTCAGAGCTTGTCCCCCACTGGCCTGGAAGCCTCTGCGCCTGGCGAAAGCTTCCTCGGGTGCGGAGACCAGTCCCGTCCTTCCTGTCCTGGATTGTCCTGGTCTCCTCTTCCTTTCCAGTCTTTGGGAGTTTTTAATTCACCCTCCTCAGTCTTGAGCAACCCTTGCTGCTGGAGGAGGAGTGAGCCATTTATTTTCCCACTGGTGTTGGGACTCGTCCTGGCTGTGGCTTAGGAAGGAGGATCCACGTGCCTTTCAAAACTCTGGTTGGTGGTCATTCTTCCTGAGGAGATTCTCGCCACTCAGGCTTTTTATATAAACATTAAAAAAGCCCAGATCTATGAGAAGAGACAAATGAATGCCTCAGGACATACTCTGCATGTTGGGCACACGTTCTTTGGAGTATAGTCGGAGCGCCAGGGCCCCCTTTGTCTACACGTGCCATCTGTGTGATCGTGTCTGCTTTAAGAGGTGGTTATTGGATGCAGTTGCTTTTCTAGGAGAGTTATGGTTCGGTTTATGAAAAGAGAGTTCCCTTAAATCCCAAGCTGTAGCTTGTTTAAAACACGACTGGATCTGCCAGGGTGAATCCACGTGAAGTTCCTCTGTCCCGGCACGAGCTCCAAGTGCAGCTCTTCCTGTGCGTGTGTAGGGAGGGGGTGCCTGGCACCCGGGGCTTCAGTCACTGTCACTCCCTAATCTCTCTCCTCTTGCTGTCTGCGTGTTCTTGCCAGTGCTCTGTGAAGAACTGCCGCACAGCCTTCCACGTGACCTGTGCTTTCGACCGGGGCCTGGAGATGAAGACCATCTTGGCCGAGAACGACGAAGTCAAGTTCAAGTCCTACTGCCCGAAGCACAGCTCACATCGCAAGCCCGACGAGAGCCTCGGTGAGGGGGCCGCTCGGGAGAACGGGGCCCCTGAGTGCCCCCCCCGGGATCCGCTGGAGCCCTTTGGCAGCCTTGAGCAGAATCAGGAGGAGGCCCACCGGGTGAGTGTCCGGAAGCAAAAGCTGCAGCAGCTGGAGGATGAGTTCTACACCTTCGTCAACCTGCTGGATGTTGCCAGGGCCCTGCGGCTGCCCGAGGAGGTCGTGGATTTCCTGTACCAGTACTGGAAGTTGAAGAGGAAGGTCAACTTCAACAAGCCCCTGATCACCCCAAAGAAGGACGAAGAGGACAATCTCGCGAAGCGGGAGCAGGATGTCTTGTTCAGGAGGCTGCAGCTGTTCACGCACCTGCGGCAGGACCTGGAGAGGGTAATGGTCGACACTGACACCTTGTGGTGACGTAGAGAAGAAGATTGCAAAGAGGCGACCGCTTGCCCAGAGCAAGGAGTGGTAGCCAGTGCATTTCCTCTCAGACCCTTGTACATACTTCAGCATGAGGTTGTGTTGGTTGAATCTATTTATGGGCTGGTAAACTCACTGTGCACACACACAAGACGGCCACAGAGCCCGGGGAGCCTCTCTGATTTAAACACTTCCTTGTTAGTTCTTACTGTTCTTCTGGAAGATCAAATGGGGTGTGTCTTCCCCTCCCCGCCCCCCTTCATTCTAGAGCTAGAGGGAACTGAGCCCCCCAGGAGGATGCCCAAGGGGTGGGCTCAGAACTGTTTACAAACTGAGTTAGAAAACCAGAGTGGATTTAATTAACAGTGAGGGGGTGGGGCGGGCCGAGGTAGGGCAGTCTCTCGTTGAACCTGGGGAAACACTTTCTAGGTGCTGGTCACGGGCTCATTGAGGAGAGGGAAGCACTGCCTCTCTGACCCAGCTCCGCCTCTTGCCTGACGGCGGGGGCCTTCCCAGTACAGTCGCCGAGCAGAGCAGGCTGTGGGTGCTGATGTGTGGGCATGAGCTGCCATGCACATGCATATCTGTTCCCCAGGTACTCCGGCAGTGAGGTGCTAAGTCATCACTCAGGCTGTGTACATGTTGTATGTGCATGTGTGTCTGTGTCCGTGTGTGTCTGTGTGCTGTGTCTAGAGTGGGCGTGGGGCAGGGCTCCTGGTGCACAGGGGCCTCCGATCTGACCCGGGGAGCCCCCCGTCCCGCGCGGCGCGCTTCGAACGCCCTCACCACTGGATTGGCCCACGTGGTGGCCCGTGGCTGCCTGGAGCCTCGGCTGGTGGCACCTTCCTGCAGCCGTTGGCTGGTTGGCGTCTCGCCCATTCTCCAGTACCTCTGGAGTCCCAGTCTGGACCTCCCTTCCGGCTACAGGCATAACTCTAGGAGCGGGCTGGCTTTCCCCCAGGGCCGCCGCCTCCCTGCAGGTAGTCTCTGACTGAAGCTTGCTAGTCGGTGATGTGTCTTAGAGCGCTTTCTCGCGTCAGCGCCCCCGACTGCCCCGACCGCCGACAGTGATTCAATTCATTAGTGCACAGATGGAACTGAGGCTTCGGGCCCAACGCAGCCCATGCTGAAAGGCACCTAAGTGGCCTGAAACGGTTAACGCGTCTCCCCCAAGCGCCTGACTTATTAATGGGGCCTGTGGTTCACCTGCCTGGGAGAGAATCTGACTCAGAGGTGATTTGCAGCGGGAGTGTAGGCAAAGAATAGGGACAGGGGAGAAGTATGGAACCGCAAGACCGAGCTCTCACAGAGACCTGCACTGCCCTGGTAGAGAAGGCGTAGCAGTGAGAGTGTTTGTAAGTGTTCCTTAGAAGAGACCCTTTGAGCACCTGACAGTGCGGCTGCTTGTGACGCCCCTTCCAGGCACCAGGTTAAGATTCCGGATTCAGGCGGGTTCAGGCGGAGGCCAGGCGGGAAGAGGGTGTGTGAGGCTCTTGTGCTCCTGTGCCCCCCCACCCCCACCCCGGTGGTGAGTGTAAAGAAGACCTCGCCTCTCAACCACATGTACGTGTGGCCTTTTTGTTAGAGATGAGAAAGGGATTCAGAAGGGAGAAGCTCGAATCCTGGTGAGAAGCCTTATCCCAACCTGACAACTGCTGTACTTGGGGCGCATGAGCTTTGGAGTCAGATAGTCCTCAGGAGGGAGGACGGAAAGTCTCATGTTCGGACTGTGTTTGTCTCGCAATCACCACAAAATAAAAGTGTAGAAAATGCTTGTGGTGTACTAACTCTTTTCTGTACTTAAGTTACTCAGATTAACACGCACTTACGATTAAATTCTAAACATTTTTTTTTTTTTTTGGAGTCATCACTGTTGCGTTTTAAGTAGAATGATGCCAATGATGTATGAGAAACAGGGAATAAATCAGGATTTTTGTGTGTGTGGTATTACTTATATTTACTTTATTAAAGAGTCTAAGAGATTTGAGGGCATTTAGCGTCAGTCTGAAACGGGCTTATTAAAATGAAAAATGTGTTTTCCAGAATGTTCCACGAGGCCTGCGATGGTGGAGGCTTTAAAAAGTGGAAATCTTGGCCGCCGTGCCCCAGGGTGCACAGTTATTTGTGATTATAAACAAGAAGTGTATTAGGCCAAAGACTCATCAGGGCAGGGGTGACAGTAAGAATAAATCATAAGTCTGTTTTTCAAGTAACTTAAAGTCCAGCCCAGTTCACACAACAGCATTTCGTAGCAGGTTAATATGTGGGACTGTGATCAAGGCGTGTGGTCACTTCAGAACTGACAAGTGAGTACCCTTCATTAGAGAGGCAGCCAACTCTCTGAGTGATAACGGTAGTGGCTCTTTCCTGCAGATATACACTGTGGGGCATTTTGCACACCCGGGTTCCAGTTCTGGATCAGAAAGTTAGATGACAGGAATGGACTCAGGTGGGTTTGGGAACCTGAAGACACGATTGCCGATATATGGCGGGTGCCATGCCAAGTTCCCAGGGCTGCCACTTCACTCTGGTGGGATTCCTTTCCCCCAAACATTGTCTTCTAAAGGATGCAATAAACATGAGTTCAGCAAATGAGTACTTGCTCAGATAAAAAAAAAAAAACATGCTACCTCTGCACTCCTGCCTGGGGCATCGAAAGGGGTCAGGTCCCGGGGGACCATTTTACTCAACATTTGGTGGAATGGTCACCTCTTGACAGTCTGACAGAGGCTACAGTTGTCCCCGAACAAGAGGCATGTTAAGCTTTAGTGTTGCAAGCAGTGTTTGGGATTCAGGAAAACTTGAGGTCGTTATCGAGTTCCTGAGGGCAGTGGTTCTCAGCACGTGGTCCTCAACCAGCAGCAACGTGACCTGCAGGTTTTTGGATCCCACCTCTGACTCCAGAAACGGTGGGGTTGGAGGCCAGCATTCTGTGTTTTAGGGCCCCTACGTGTTTGTTTGGGAACCACTGCTTTTGGGGAAAGCCTGACTCTTGGGTTTAACGTGGTATGAGGGTGGCAGCCGAGGGCTGGTGGTTTTGCCTACCACCTCGCTGGCAATTGGGAGAAGATGAAGCGGGGGGTCGGGGGTGGGCGGGAGGTTAGGTCTAGCAGTCTAGCAGTGTACAGGAAGGGCCACGCAGGGTGTGTGTTGAGGACAGAGCCTCAGTTCAGCTCTACATACAGGGGCTGCTTACGGAAGTTGCCCTTCAGGGTGTTCTGTGCATGAGAGAGGTAAGGTTTAGGGCACTCACTATACTAATGTGGTCAGCCGGCCTGGTTTATTCAGGGGCTGATTTGCTCCAATTGAAAACCCCGACCTTTGCTTCTTGGGGTCACAGCTAGATGTCTCGTATCAGAAATCATGGGGAATGGAAATGGAGAATTTCCCACTTAACAGCCAGGGTGGAAATCTTTCCTGGGGGAAGTGAAGACACCAAAATTAAATTTGAGTAATAATACGAAGTTCAGGTTCTCTGGCTCTGCTCTTTCCATTGACAATTTTAAGTAAAAAATGATGTATCTCTTTTGTACCTCTGACTTGAATAGGAGAGTAACCTTGTCCACTCCTAGGATGTCAGAGAGTTTGTTTCCATTTCCTATTTCCACAAGTTGGATTCCCTGTCTTAATGTAAAAACCGTTCTGTATGTTTTCCAGTTGTTTTGAGCCTGTGATAAGGATCTAGGTTCGGCCCCTTCCTCTTTTTGACCTTCTACTCTTAATCTCCCCTGGGTGGAGCAATATTTATCAAAGAGGGTCGCCTATTAGCTACCTCCATCCCCAAACTGGTCAGAATTCTCATAAAGGACACCTACTTCCTGGCCTGAGGGTGTGTGGCTGTCAGAGAAAGAATGTGCTTTAACCAGGGTGAATGACACTGAAATAAGATTTACTTTGAGACAGGAAGAGTGATTTTATTCTCAGTTCTTTAAGATAATTTTTATTTTTATCAAGAAGTGTTAGGAAGATCCTAAACAAATAGTGAATAGGTTAGGATCAAGAGAAGCCTGACTTGGTGGTCCTGCTTTAGGCCAGGAAATTATACCACTTACAACGTGAGCAATGCAAATGTGAAAGCCAGCTGACCTGTTCCTCTTAATGCCTCGTGTCCTCTTGGAAAGGAGGCTGCCTTGAACACAGCTGGGGAAGAACAGCTGGAATTGTTAGGGTTCTTTAGGGGTGGTGTATCTGTACAGAAGCCAAAATGCAGGGCTGTGTGTGTCGCTTGTTGCCACTCTCGCTGCCAAAAGGTTAGTGACCTTGGGGGAAGGTGGCAGGAGAAGGGATAGCCCAAGCGTTAGGAGAGTGTAGTCATGCCTTTGGTGTAGGAGCTGATGGGGATACGCAGTCCCTGTTTTCAGTCTTGCCACTGAGCTTACTGGGGTGGTCTTGTCCACATCTTCCTGAAGAAAGGTTTATTAATTGTGTTATCTGCTGTGTTGCATTTGACGTTTGTGTTTTCAGGCCCATGCCGTCTAATCAGGTCTTACCAGTAGGTTTTAGGACTGAGAGATTTAAGGGGGTTTATTGATTAAGTCATTAAAATTTGATTCTGTATTGACTGATCACAGGTGGCTTTGAAAATGGGGAACAAATTTAAGTTGATTGGTTACTACTGGTGAATGAGCATCTGCATGCAGTTCCCCAGTGGTCGCACATCAGATGCAAAGCGGAGCTCCTAGTGCTGGGGTCTTCTCGGTTACTGACCGATGAATCGAGAAGAGGGCAGTTTCAGTTTTTCAGGTGGTGATACAGAAAGCTGGCCTTGAGAGGCTGAGCTAGCAAGTCAATGGCAAAGCAAGAAGGATGTTCCCTAGGTGTTCACACGCTGTAGGAACACAGCGGCCTGTAAGTTCCAAGGTAATTCAGAGAGTTCAGTGTCAACAAAAGAAGTTTACTTGGATTCCTGGTGACTACTTGGCCTTCTAGTGAGCCCTGTGTGGGGACATTGTTTGTGAGGGGCTTCTCCCTCTGATGGCCCTTGACCCTAATGCTATCTAGTTCCATCTTCAGAAGATGCTTGATAAAGTGCAGCAGAGGTGGCTTCTGAACTGCTCTGAAGCCTCTGACGATAGAATTCATGGGAAAGAGGATACTGAAGGGGTGATAAGCAGAGTCCTTTGGCAAGAGCTGGCATGTTTGGACTTGGACACCGATGGGCGTCTGTCTCTTCGCCAGGAGGAGCCTGTGGCCAGGTGTGGTGCAGGGGCAGGACCTCCTCTGACAGCCTCTTTTGTGCTGCTACCCACCTTGAGGGGTATACACAGAATACTTGTTAGCACCCCAAAGGGAGGCTTAGAGATTAGCTAAAATGTTTAAAGTACATTTGGATATCAAAAGTCACTCAAGGACCTAGTAGGACAAATTTTTCTCAGGTAAAGAGGAAAAAAACAAAAAACACCAAAGTCCTGTTATAATGTATTGCTTACTTAGAATCTTTATTCTCTACGTTCTAGGTTCGGAACCTCACTTACATGGTGACCCGCAGGGAAAAGATTAAACGATCTGTGTGCAAAGTCCAGGAACAGATATTCAATCTTTACACTAAGCTTTTGGAGCAAGAAAGAGTTTCAGGTATGCATTAAGCCCCGGTAGGTCAAACAATAGGGCAGGGGTTTGTAAGCCCTCTGTTAAGGGAAAAAAATGCTAGTTTCTTTAATTTTCTTTTATACTGTAGAAGAATCAAAGAAGCAAAGGCTTTTGTTGTTGAAGAAAATCTTTAGGCATTCGAGGCGCCATGGTCTAGAGGAGAGGGCTATGAACTGGGCCTCATGTGTGGGTCAAATCCTATATTGGCTACTTAAAGGCTCAACACAAGCAAGTCTTAAGTTTTCCAAGTCTCCCTCATTTCCTCACATGTAACGTGAGGATGAGATCTCCAGCTACCTCCTGGGAACAACTGTGAGACTCGAAAGAGTAACTTACATATTGCAAAGCACTTGATAAATGTAAAGTATCCTGGGGATACCTAGAAAGGTTTATAATTATCTAGCCTTTGGATCTACCTGTAACATATGGTAAATATATCTTAAGACTGTGTACTTAAGGCACACATCCATGTTGATGTAACATTCACAGTGGATTATTTTGGTGTAGTTGGAGTTTTGAATACGTTCGAGATTCAGCACAACATATTTATTTAGTGCTGCCTATGTTGCATTGCTCTGGCAAAGAGAAAAAGAAAACTAAGACATGGACTTCCCCCACCTCCGGAGAACACTTGAGTGACTTTGAGATCAAGTGCGTAGGAGGGCAAGTTGTTTAACCTCTCCGGGACTCTGTTGGTCTGTAAGAGGTTTGGTCCAGAATCCTGCCCTCTGAAGTGCTTTTCCGCACTAGCGTTCCGTGATCAGAAGCCCCAGAAAGCAGGCGTTATAAGGATTTCAGAGGAGGAAGAGTCTGTCGAGTGCGGATCGGGCAGAACCATGACCCACGAGCAGGCGGGTCTTAGGGGACCTCGTGTCTGCTGCCCTTTGAAGTTAGAGCAGCAGTGTCTGCACCGCTTGCCTTTTGTGCAGAGTCCACCGGCTTACTCTCCTTCTGCTTCTGCGGCTTTTCGTCTCTGTAGATTAGGAAACACAGATACAACAAAGAAGTTGTTATAACCTATTATGTTGAAATCCACATTCTGGGTTTACCTAAAACTAACTGGATATGTGTGACTAGAGGCAAACTGGTCAGCCGAGCAAAGAGAGAAAAAGCTTGGGGAGTTTTAAATGATATTCTTGAAGTGTGTTACATTGTTTTGATAGCATTAACGTATTAATAATATCATCCTAGGTAATTTCCTTCCCAAGAGTAAATATTTCCCAGATATATCAAGTGTTCTATCGTCAGCTAGACTTCAGAGCTGTCAAACTTTTAAAATAGATTTTTCTGAGTTAGGGTATCACAAGTACAGGCAGTTTGACTCAGTCTTTAAGGTGAACTTCTGTCTCTTCATTATTCCTACTTGAATGCAGATAAAATAGGGGACCTGTTTTCTCCCTTGCCCGTGGTGTGTCCTTGTGTAAACAGCAGCCCCCCACCCCCACCCCAAGGCTGTCTGGTGCGGATCACCCGGCCTCCAGCTGCAGAGGCCGAGCTGCTGCCGCCCAGGATCATTAGTGCAGGTTGTGTCTGTGGAGCTTTGCCAGTGGAGGGCTTTCTGTGACTCTTGTTAAAAGTCCTTACGTAATGAGTGATTACCTAAGAAAATAAGCTGTAAAGAACGTTTTCATCTGATTTCACTTGAGTCGTTTTTCATGGTTATTGCAGGCAGTTTTTTTTTTTTTTTTTTCCCCTTGTATTTCATGGCTGAGGTTTTTTGGTAAGTGGTTGAGCTTCTTAACAAGGTTAGGAAGTGTTTTGTGTAACAGATGTAATGCAGATCTACGTTCAGAAGTCCTACTGCTGTTCCAGAACAGGAAAAGGGGTCCTCACCACCCTCTGAGGAATGACCCACACTAGGTATGACGGGTTGGAAGCAGTGGTAATCTTCCTGTGAACTGCCCCAGGGAATGAAGTGGAAACCCCTTGGGACGCCTTTTTTCTCCTTCCAGTTTGAGACTTTCCGTTGTGTAGTTCGTGCCTCACACTGAGCTACCTTGTAAGAGAGATGATTCCGAGGGAGGCAGAGATGGCCCTGACTTAACGTGTGTCCCTAGGATCCACGGTTTAAACTGTCCCATGGTTCCGAAGATGGGCAGGGCCCTTCTGCTGGATGAGTGTCCTCAGCGGAGACAATACTTATGAGAGCCAGAGGCCCTTCAGAGACATGGATCCCAAGTCAGGAGAGAAATCAGAGCTTGGAAAATAGCCCCTCTTACCTTCCTATTTTCCCACATTAGGTGACTGCATAAAAGAAAGAATACGTGTGGCGTGACGGTTGACCCTGAGTTTGATTATTGAGAAAGCAGCCATTTCTAAACCAGCAGACTGTAAAACACCCTCCCTACGGTCATGATCATTTTACGTTTAGAGTTGCTAGCTCTGTTCTGTTTACATGCAGTGTCCGTTTCCGCTCAGCAGTTAAACTCTCACATGGGCTCCTGCCTGCTACTCTGGGGGGGAACCTTGTTTTCCTGGTGGTTCATAACTCAGGAAACATGAAAACTGCTCTTTGTAGGTGCTCTGGAGGCTCTTGCAGGAACGTGGTCCTTCGGATGAACTCTAGTATGTTACGAATTCACCCTGTCGTTTTCAAACTGAGGGTTACAGTTTATTACCGGGTTGTGAGATGAATTTAGCAGGTCATCACTAGCATTAAAACAAGTGAAACAGAAACTGTCACAGTGCCTATCAGGCCACGAGGCTAATATGATTGCAGGAAAAGTGAGCTTTTACTGGGTTACATCGTGAAACTTAGTTCTTACTGTGATTTGCCTCAGAAATGTTTGAAAAACACCAATTTAACTTATCCTTGTGTTGGATGGCAGTTCAGTTTAATTCCACAAATGGGTTTTACATATGAGAGTAAACAGATGTACGCTGTGTCAAGAATGATTTCAAACACCTTCCTTTATTCATTTCACAATTGACGTGTATTTATCCTCATCATAGCCATGTAGCCCTGTGAGGGTGTAGATAATTTGGAGAAAGAACCTTAAAAGCCCCAGTACCCCCAGCCCCCCAACCCTCACCCCCACCCCCCGTCTGTAGGCGTGGCAGGTGGCAGCTCTTGGCAGGCGCTGCTCTGAGACCGGGTGGAAGCAGTGCTTGCTTCACCGCAGACGGATTCCGCAGTGAATCCCATTTGAAAATCAGATCAGTTATTTTGTTTGACGGAAAATGTATTCCTTGAAAAGACATTGTTTCATGAAAAAGTACATGAGCTTAAGCTGTTTTAGAAAATAGAGGATACTGAGTATTCAGATTTTACGGAAGGTAATACCTTTACTATAAAAACCGAACTTTTACGAAGTGGGTGGCTGTGTGCTTTACTGTTGGGTGGGAAGGCCCTGCTGAGGGTCTGGAATTTTATTGTTCTGGATTTGCCTCTGCTGTAACTTTCCTTGACGTGTGGTTTTTGTGTTCGTAGGTGCGCCGCCTTCTTCTTCCTCCTCGTCACTGGAAAACATGCTTCTGTTTAACAGCCCTTCTGTGGGCCCCGATGCCCCCAAGATAGAGGACTTGAAGTGGCATTCTGCGTTCTTCAGGAAGCAAATGGGTACTTCCTTGGTTCACTCGATGAAAAAGCCCCATAAGCGAGATCCATTGCAGAACAGTGCTGGGAGTGAAGGCAAAACCCTGCTAAAGCAGCCAGACCTGGGCAGTAGAAGGGAGGGGATGGTGGTCCCAGAGAGCTTTTTGAGTTTTGAAAAGACCTTTGCAGAAGCACGTCTCATATCAGCACAACAGAAGAATGGTGTGGTGATGCCAGACCACGGGAGCAGAAGAGACCATCGTTTTCATTGTGATCTTGGTAAGGGAGACTTGAAGGACAGACCTTTCAGACAGAGTCACAAGCCTCTCAGGTCCACAGACGTGTCCCAGAGGCACGTGGACAACACAAGAGCTGCCACCGCCCCTGGAGTGGGGCAGTCAGCACCCGGCACGAGGAAAGAGATGGTGCCCAAGTGCAACGGCTCCCTAATCAAAGTAAACTATAACCAGACTGCAGTCAAAGTGCCTACAACACCTGCCAGCCCAGTGAAGAACTGGGGAGGATTCCGGATTCCAAAGAAGGGGGAACGGCAGCAGCAGGGAGAGGCCCACGAGGGGGCCTGCCACCAGCACTCAGACTACCCCTATTTGGGCTTAGGCCGAGTTCCAGCCAAGGAGAGGGCAAAGAGCAAGTTGAAATCTGACAACGAGAATGACGGGTACGTCCCTGATGTAGAGATGAGTGACTCAGAGAGCGAGGCATCAGAAAAGAAATGTATACATGCCAGCAGCACCATTAACAGGAGGACAGACATTATCAGGAGAAGCATTTTGGCCTCTTGATGAAGCAGAGATGGCTTGGGAGCACCACGGGCTTGTCACGGGGTAGGCGAGAGTTCAGACACGGGGGACGAGCAGAAACCCGTCACTCCTGAGCTGCACAAACACATTTACTTGCAATTCAGATTGAATCTTTTTTTTTGAGTCATTTATAAATCATTGTTGTGAGAAGTGTGTTATTTGCAACTTGTTGAGGAAACACAAGAGTTAGATTGTAACCGTAAGACACTGCTAAGACTAGAGGCTGAATTAAACACTAAAATAAGAATGGATGAATTAAGTTTCTAAAGAGGGCAAGGCTTTTAAATAAGCCTCATGAGTTTTTACTGCCCTCTGTATTCTTCCCAAAGCACAAACTCTTGGTTACCTGAATATACAGAATCAGACGTGGTTCTTGAGAAATGCTCACGTACCATTTAATAGCCCATAAAACTTATTTTCTAGGACTGTGGTGGATCTTGAAATCATATTTATACTTTGGCCCACAAGGCTGTTTTTGTTGCATTATAGTATACGGGCAGTAGCTCTGAAGCTTCAGTAACTCTAGGGAATTCATGTGTAAATATAGCAGATGAGGGAAGAGAAAATTTAAAAGTCATTACTGGAAGATCTGAAGGGACAGGGTAGAGCCGCTGGAGCTTGGAGATTTAGGGTAAATGTAAGCAAGGTCCTGCTGCCGGAAGCCCTTGAATGTGTTGTGGATATAGGGCTGGTGGAGGGTGAAGCCATTACAGAGTTCCATCTGTGAGAAAGGGCAGTTGAGGTCCTGTCTTTACCAGTCCTTTTGACCTTTCTCTTCCCTAACCACTGCCTTTTGGGCCAGCTTGGGATTTCGCTGGCCATTGGCAAAAACTGGCCATCTGGCTTCCAACAATACAATGGCTATTCAAGTTCAAGTGATGAACTTCCAGACTCTGGTGACTCATATTTCCCAGAGCCGACCACTAGTGCATATGTTGGGGAATCCGGCCTTCCAACATGAACAGATTCCTTTAAAAAAAAAAAAACAAAAAACAAGAAAAACAAGACAAAAAAAAAGCAAAATAGGTTATATTTAAAAAAAAAAATAGAAAGGCAATAAGTTGCGATAACCTCTTACCATTGATTGACCAAGGTTATACAGGAAAGAGATTGAAGTGTAATAGGTTTTCTGGAGTCAGAGCTCTAGTTCGTAACTTGGACTTTCTAATTGCAAACGGCAATAACTAGTAAGTTATCAGCAATAATAAATTTAGCATTAAATTTGAGTACAATGTTCTGTTTTTTGCACTCGCTGCAGTGCATTATGTATTAAGACAGTGGATAGTGTTAAGGTCCTGTTAATTTTTTTTTGGAATTCAATGTAGTTGTGAATCAAACTTAAGGAAAGTTTAAGTAGCAATGAGATTTAGAGTTATGGGCACTTGGAACAAGCCCAACTTCCCCTAAATTATCCTTTAGTTTGTTAATATCAGTATTCAGATTCCTGATTCATTTATACATTTGTTTCCATGTGGCAGGGACATTCTGATACTTAATGAGTAATGCTTTGAGTTCTGTAGTTACCTTTCAAGTCTTCCGGACGATTGTCAACAAGGAAAAAGGCTTATTGAATTCCATCTTGCTATGCAAGTTTTATCAGATGATCAAATAGTAGATCTGATACATCCCCATTGTATGTATGACATTTTCAAACCAAGTCTTAACTTTTCGAATACATTTTAGTAGCTAATTCAGGGGAGGGGAAAGAATGACCCAGGTTTTTAGATTGACTATTTTTGAGCTATGGGGCTCATTTTTCAAAGACTGTTGTCCAGATAAACTGTTGCTACAGATACTAGAAGTTTCTTATGAATCCAAGTTGTACATTAACTCGGCATAATTTAAAAATTTTTTTTTTTTTTGCATATGAGCAAAAAACCTTTTGCTGGATACAGGAGAAGGTGGACTCGATTTACAGTTATCTTTTGACTACAGCAACAGCTCTGGGTGAGAGTAGAATATATAGAGGGATAATTTGTCAAGCCATAAAAAGAAAATCTAAATTAATTCTAGTAAGTGTATGACCTCTCACCATTATAAGAGGTACCAGATTCATTTGCACTATTAGGAATGCTAGTTTTGTGCAAAAATAATGCCTTACCTGTTTTTTCCCCACATTTAGGTTGAAAAGCTTTCAAACGTTCCAAGTTATGCTGAACCAAAAACAAAACAAAACAAAAAATAAAAATAAAAAAAAAAACCCACATAAGAACTAAACACCCAAAAACAAAAAGCCCACACTTTTGAAATGCAAATGGTACAGGGCTCAGTTTCTCTGGCACAGTGTAATGATAGCTCTGTGAGTGGGTGAGTTTCATGTCCTGCTGGGAACTCTGTATGCGGCCGCATGAGCGGCAACCAGCCAGCCGAACCTGCCCACCTGCACTCTGAGTACGGAACCATTTGCCTTCTTTTCTCCTTCTCCTCCTTCTTTTTCTTTTTCTTTTTTTTGTTTTTTAAAGCTTTATCTATCTTTCCTTGTGCATCCTGACCAAGAAATATCTTTGATTATGATCAATGTATTATGTCAAAATGTAGGCTAGTTAAACTTTTGTAAAGTTGCCTGGAATGTCATTTGTTAGGTTATAAACACAAAATCTAAATGAAGGGTTATATGTGTTGTGTACAAATCTTAATTATTTTGAAATGGACAAACTTGTCATTACATTTGTAACCTTGTACAGAGGATTTTTCACTATGTGCCTAGCTTGGTGTCCATTCAGCTAAAGTTGAAAAAAAAAAGGTGCATGAAGAGTTAAAAATCAGAATTAAACAAAGTATATGTAGAGATGACTATTTTATATTACATGGCCCAATCCTGTATTTATTTCTACCCCCTTTTTGAAAGTATTTATAAAACTAGTTGAGGACAGCTGTATTTTTTTGTTGAACTATTTAGTAGAATTTGTGCCTTTTTGTCTGTATGTGAATAAATGCTGTACATTTTGCAGTACATTTTAGAGTGTCTTGAAATCTGGTTTTGCTAAATATTTAGATGTATATGACTTAGCTGCATATGTATGTGATGTCTCACATGATGGTACATGTCGACAGTCTCACAGCTTAGATCAGGAACGCAAACTGCAGGGAACATGACCAAGACTGTGGAAGAGCACAGATTCACTAGGCTGCTTTCTGGCTCAACTTTGATGGTGAGACACTGATATATGATAATGGTTTGATTTTAGTGTTCCCCACCTGGAGTTCTTTCCAGAATACAGTTTTAGAGCTGAAAACAACCAGTTGAAGCACCTTACACATTAGGGTTGGAGACACCTGGGTTTAGAGGCTGAAGTACAGTTCACCAGCCGTGTGACCTTTGCCAAGTCACCTAACCTGTATAAGCCTCAACTTTCCCTTCTGTGAAAGGACAGTGACATCCTACTATCTATCTTCCTGGGGTTGCTGTGCTAGTCAAAGCAAGCTCATAGAGCATCTCACAGGAAGCACGTGGCAGGCATTTGGTAAATGTTTGGCTATTATGATTAGGAACAAGACACTGACTTCTTCAACATAATGTTGACTGATAAGCCTTCTGAGGCAAAAAAAATGTTATTTCTGAATGACAGGGAGACTGTGTTTATAAGACTCTTAAAAAATAATTTTCAAAGGGCGCGGTTTCATTAAATGCATTCTTTTGATCACAGAATTCTGGAACATTAGGGCAAAGAAGAGGTATCTCTATTCTACAGAGAAGACACGTCCAAGATCATAGCATTAGGCATTGGCGGGACCGGGCCAAGGCCCTAGTTCTAATTTCTAGTTTGGTGTTCTCCCTGCCTGAAGCAGGCTTTACTCAACCCCTACATGCAGGCATTAGCATATAATGAAATGCACCTTTGTGCTGGGAACAGCAAAAGCCGGGAGGGTTACATATTCTCATGTAGATTACAACGTACAGGAGTCACAACAGGGTAGCGGTACAGAGTCCCTAATTTACAACTTTTGTAAAAATTTGGCCAGTGTTTTTAAACATGAATTGTTCATACATTTGGCTAAAAGCTTGTTTATTTCTCCTTGTTCCTCCTTAGTGACTATTCCCTTCCACATAGCTTGCTCTGAGTAAGACCCCAGAGAGAAATAACTGTGATTCTTCCTACAAGGTCTAAAGTTGAATAACCACGATAGTTCTCTAGGGAAATTAAGTCCCCAGGAGCCAGAGGATAGGGCCTATTGCTGGCAGTTCTGCAACATGTGATGGGAAACGTGGCACCAGGGACTCGTGTATGTGTTTTTAGCCAGATCACTTAGAAAACGGTTTCTACCTTTGAAACATTCGCCGTCTGCAGCAAACTTCGCAATTAACTTCAAGGTTGAAATCTTCAATATGATTTCCCTTCAGTGCTCAGAACTGCCTTAGATGATGTGCTCCAGTCCGGGGCAGAATAGACCTTTGATTGAAAAAGAGGGTAAAAGCAAATCTGTTATCTACTTCCTTGACTTTGACCATTCCCTGTGCTGCTAAGTTTGATGCTGCTGCAATCCAGCTTTTTCTGAGTTCTGATGGACTGCTTGTTGGGCGTTTCCTCTTTGATGTATGCAGGTGCTTGGGATTTTGGAACTCATCCTTTTCTATGTCCTGCCTTAAGAGAATGCCATCCAAGCCTGGAACCTGTTCTTATTTCTTCAACTCCTGTAGCCAAATGCTGATCTAGATCTATGTACTATACGTAGTATCTCTTCAGCAACTTTTGCTTCTCTTAATCCCACTACCGCTTGCCATACAGTGTTCAAGCCTCATCATTTCTTGCCTGGATTATCACAGCAGCCTCTTACCTGGTTTCCTTGGTTCAAGTCTTGCTGAAATCAATCACTGCTCCCAGTTAGCTGCGGTCTGATAACTTCCACAATAAAAACTGGCTTTGTTATTCCACAAGCTCGTCAGAGAACCTCCAGGCTTCTGTACATGATTACAAAAGGCTTATCAAATGGCAAAAGCACTGCTTGGTATTTTATGCGTATTAATTTGTTTAAGCCTCACAGCATGTGAGGAAGGCACTATTATCTATCTGCAGATGAGGAAACAGAGGCACAGCAATTAAGTAATTTGCTCAAGGTCAGTAGGTGGTAGAGCTGGGCGTCAATCCTAGCCAGGCTGCAACTAAGCCCCCCGGGCCCTACTGCCTCTCGGAATACAAAAAGAGTTCACATAAAGTAGTTCATGTGTTTTTGAGTATACGGAGGAGTATACATGTGAACTTTCAGTTCAATGAATTTCTGTAAAGTAAAGCTAATTACCTTGGTTTAAAATATTATGTTAATGTACTGCTTGAATGACTATGAACATAACCTAATGGATAAAGAGCAATATTGTTGGCTTGTAGTCAGTTAGTCCCTGCCTTCTTCTAGGGAGAATGGAATTAGTTAATTTAGTGTCCTATACATTTATGTAACACACACGCACACACGTATTTACAGATATAAAATATACGCCTATGATAAAAAATAGCACTGCTATCAAGAACTCAAAGAATAAATTTCTCTATATCCTGACACGTTACCTGGAAAGTTACAGAGAATTATTTAAAATCACATTGTTTCTAGACGATGAATCTGCAGTTAGGACTCATGTCTTAAAACTCTGATGCTATGCAAAACCTTCAAATCAGTATTTTTGTGATATAAAGTATAATAAATCTGGTTAGCTTTTATAAATAAGTCAAGCAAATTAAATAGCAAAGATAAAAGAAAAAAAAATGTATACCATCATTCCTAATGTATCACTAATGTATCCTGATACTCTCACTACTACTTGGTTTATATACGGCAGAGTTCTAAATAGCACGTTTATAATTATGGGTTAATTATGGTTATTTTACCTATTAATCTGGCTGATGGCTTAATTTCCAGATTATCATCAGTGTGAGGCCATTTCTTCATGAAGCAAATCTTTTCCTCTGGTGTTTCCTTCCTCCATGTAGCAGCCTCAGAGGTGCCTTCCTTCTTTTCTTGTTCATTTTGGCTCTGCTCCAGCTGTACCGTTTGAATCATTTGAGCTTCTCTTTTTCATGTCAAATGCTTGTGGTCATATCTTTGCCTCAAAGAGTCCCAAATACTCAAAGTAAGTAAATACCTTTCAAATACCTCGCTTTAAAATACCATGCTTATTTCGACACAGGAAAATCATATAATATAGTATCAACCACTTTATAATTGCTAAACACAATTTAACACATTTATTATTTTTTTGGTAGATATTTGGTAAATTGTTTTGGGTGAAATTGTCACCACTTTTTAAAGAAATCTGTATTTTTTTTTTTTTGGATCTGTCTCCTAAAGCAAAGGAAATAAAACCAAAAATAAACAAATAGGACCTAATTAAACTTAAAAGCTTTTGCATAGCAAAGGAAACCATAAACAAAATGAAAAGACAACCTACTGAATGGGAGAAAATATTTGCAAATGATATGGCTGATAAGGGGTTAATATCCAAAATATATAAACAGTTCATGTAACTCAACATCAAAAAAAAAAAACCTGATTAAAAAATGTGCAGAAGACCTGAATAGACATTTCTCCAAAGAGGAAATGCAGACGGCCAACAGCCACAGGAAAAGATATTCAACACTGCTAATCATGAGGGAAGTGCAAATCAAAACCACAATGATATATCACCTCACACCTGTCAGAATGGCCATCATCAAAAAGAACACAAATAACAAATGTTGGCAAGGATGTGGTTGGTAGGAATGTAAATTCCCTACTGTGGAAGACAGTTTGGATGGTCCTTAAAAAACTAAAAATAGAGCTACCATATGATGCTGCAATTCCACTCCTGGGCATACAACTGGAAAAGACGAAAACTCTTAATTCAAAAAGACATATGCACCCTCAATGTTCATAGCAGCATTATTTACAACAGGCAGGACATGGAAGCAACCTAAGTGTCCATCAACAGATGAATGGATAAAGGATATATATATATATATATACACACACACACACACACACACATACACACACGTATATGTATGTGTATATATACACACATACACACAATGGAATACTATTCAGCCATGAAAAAGAAAAGAAATCTTGCCATTTGCAACAACATGAATAGACTTGGAGGGTATTATGCCAAGTAAAATAAGTCAGACAGAGAAAGACAAATACTGTATGATATCAGTTATATACGGAATCTAAAAAATACAACACACTGGTGAATATAACAAAGAAGAAGACTTACTGATATAGAGAATAAACTAATGGTTACCAGTGGGGAGAGGGAAGGGAAGAGGGGCAATGTAGTGGTAGAAGATTAGGAGGTACAAACTATTACATATAAAATAGGCTGCAAGGATATATTGTACAACATGGGGAATATAGCCAATATTTTATAACTTATAACCTTTAAACATTGTGAATCACTATATGGTACACTTGTAACATAATGCTGTACATCAACTGTACTTCAATTGAAAAAAAGAAAGCTTTATAAGGCAATCAAAAAAAAAAATCTGGAAACCTTTAAAGGAGGTAACCCACTAATTTATATAACTTCCTTTGCTTAGATCTATATTTTTCACTAAAGTTACTTGACTTTTTAGGTGATGGCCAATTTCTTTTCAAGGTTTGAAAAAATACCCAAATCCCACTAGATATGAAGATGCTTTTCTTAGGAAGTTTTCTATGTAATGCATATAATTTGATAACCAAAAGGGCTTTTTGGGTTAGAGTCAGAGTCAGAAAAGGCAAAGACTCGGTCGCAGCTCTGAATCATTACAATAAGGCTGATGCATGAAAAAGTGAACGCAGAATTTTTCAAAACCTATTTTGTGTATCTTCTATCAAGAACACGAATCCTTGAACTGAAAAGGAGAGAATGGACACTAGTAAGAGTTACCTGAAGTCTAGGGTGAAGCACTCGTTTGAGAGTACCGAGCTGCCAACAGTGAGTTCGAGCCTCATGACGCAGAGGAATTAAACCCCGGGGCACCCATAATTCCAGTTTGGCTTTGAATGCAGTCACTTTATCTGCCAACTTGAACACAGGTGTTGTTCTCCCCTGAAGTGACAGATTGAGTTTGTTGAGCAGGTTGAATATGCCACACAAGTAAGCAAGTTTTGTGACCCATTCTGTGCCACTGAAACGTGCTGCCAGTGGTGACTGTTTTTCTAAAAGAAATCTTTGAAGTGGCTCTTGTAACTCAAAAGCTCTGGCCAGTGATCTACCTTTAGAAAGCCATCTCACCTCTGTGTATAAGAGAAGACGTGTGAACACTGGGATTTTTGACATGTTTCAAACATTAGCAGAGATTTTTGAAAGAGACTGAGCCAGGGCCTTCTTTCTCCCAGCTGGTGCATATCACCTATCTCAGCTTTCCAAAGACTTTGAGCACTACTTCCCAACCACAAAAGACCCCAAACTGGGAAGGAATGGATCTGCGACCCATCTGTGAATAAGCCAGGTGAATCGACTTTGTCCGTGCTAGAAGAGGATCAACTGCTTGAGATCGCAAATCACGGTGCCTTAAAAGTATGTTTGAGACAACTTCAGATCTCCATACGTTCTGAATTAAAGTCATGGCGGAATATCCTGATGTTGCCACAAAAGCACTGAAAAGCCTGCTTTCGTTTCCAACATCCTATCTCTGTGAAGCAGGGTTTTCTGCAGTGACAGCGACCAAAACGAGATCACAGAGTAGACTGGACATAAGCAACACACATCGGTGTCACTGTCTCCCATCCCCCCAAGATGGGACCATCTAGTTGCAGGAAAACAAGCTCAGGGCTCTCACTGATTCTGCATTATGGTGAGTTGTATAATTATTTCATTATATATTACAATGTAATAATAATAGAAGTGAAGTGCACAATAAATGTAAAAAACAAAACAAAAACAAACAAAAGAACCCCGGGGGCACTCAGAGAACCTGTAGAGGCGACTGCTCGGTCACTGTCAGCAAATGGGAGAGATGTCAAAAGCACAAATTCCACAGACTCTAAGGATGCAGTGTTGGCAGAAGGAATCTGGTGTTGGAGAGACCTGGTTTGAAAGCCTGCAGTGCTACTTTCCATCTCTGTGACCCTGGGCCAGGTGTTTAACTTTTATGACACCTTATATCTTCGGAAAAGGAATGACAACACCAACCTAGCAGCAACACCTACCTAGCAGGGTTGTTGGATTATACAAGATAATGAATGCAAAATGCTAGCACAATGCTTGTATAAGGTAGGTGCTCAATAAATAGACATTAATACAGCTCAGCATGGTTACTGCAGATCCAGGGGAAGATTCTCCAATGGATCCAATGGATTCTTTTGGTTATTTGCAGAAACATGACTGTAGCTACTCTCATTCTCCCTTATCCCCTAGAACACAGTTCACGTGACAGGAAATCCTAGTGTCATATTTTTAATCTTCCCAGATCTAAGTGCCAACAGATTTCCTCATACATCATATTATGATCTGATGGCTTTCTTATTCTTTGAAAAAAGGATAAAAATCGTGACCGGGAGTTTCCATGATGCCATACTAAAGGACTGAAAGGGTTTTAAATAAACGTAAAAGGAACAAGCAGTGATGACTAGGATGCTACATGGATTTACTAAGAAGAAACCCATTTAACTTGTCTTCTCAGACAGGATTACTAGATTAGGTCTGGGAAGTATGACAGTTGCAGCATAAATGAACTTTCCTAGGCAGAAGCCTAGGTCTCTCTTGATGTTTTTATGATAGTGTGGAAGCAGCAATATGGGCTAGATTAAAAACAGGTTGACTGACCTGTTGCCTGACCATGATGCCTCATGGGTCCTGATTATAACCCGTCATGGGAGGTGGTGGCTGGTATGCTCGAAGAGACTGACTGTACTCAGATCTGTCTAGTTCTCATTTTTTCAGTGATTTTCATGAAGATACGGGTGGTTATCAAAGCTGTAGATGGAATTCACTGTAAATAAAAAATTGTCATGGATGCAAGAAATATAGCAATAAAACAAAATTAGACACAGTTCCTATGCTTATAGGTAACAAACTGGATGACAGAATTAGGAGGTAAAATGACCTCAGCACGCTGTAATAATATAATGAAAAGCAATAAATGACTAGTCCAATTTCTGGGGCAAAGATCTGGCTTAGCAACAAAACCTTTAGAAAAAACTTAAGATTTCAGTCAACAATATGCTCAATACCTGTCCAACAGTGTGATTCAACTTCCAAAAAAGCTAACATGATTTTAAGCTGAATTAATGGAAGGCGTAGACTCCAGACCAGTAATTCTCATTTTTTTTGTCATCCTAAGTACTAATGAGAAATTATATGAACATTTTCCTGAATCGCTAACTCAGTAACTGTCAAAGCAGGCTTCCGTAAGAGAATATGTCACTCTTCTTGGGGCGAGGGAAAGGGGAAGGGTATGTACCGTGAAGCCACAGTTCCCTGGAGATTCTAATAAGCTGTCCCCCCCACCCCTCCTTGGGCAGGTATCACTTACCCTCTCCCCACCATTCCCAGTCATGATCCAGAACAAGGGAATTAATAGTTTATACCCTGAAAATAATGTTTGGCTCTGGGCATAAGACTGAGGCATCCCAAGCATACCTGGTGTAAAGTAAGATGCTCGTAAATATCTATTGAACGAGTGAAAGAAGATATGTATGTTTCCAGAGACCAGTGACTGGCTGGCGCAAGGACTCAAAACCAAGTCCTCTGAGGAAATGGAGAATGCTTACTAAGTACAGGGAGAGCATGATAATTATTTTTAAAAGGCTGAAGATCTGCCATGTGGAAGATGGTTTAGACTTACTCTGTGGTACAAGGCAGAACGAAGGGAGGAGACACATTTCAGTTCAGTATCAGCAAGAACTTTCTAGTGGTCAAGGCTGTTGCAGAGTGGACTGGGCCACCTCAAGGGAGAGGGAGCTGCCTTCCCCGCCCCAGTGAACTTCAACAGCTGTGCACAGTAACACTGGTAATTTGTTACTAAAAATAAAGGAGTGAGCTATAAGAACATGTACTTAAAAAGGAAGAAACGAGAGCAGGTTCAAAGTTATCTCTCTAATGTTTTTCTCCTTTGCTTACATTCCAAAATACTTTCTGAGTGGAAGAACTAAGGGTAGGGTTAGAGCTAGTGCATTGGGAGCGTCTACAGGCATGTGGGGGCACGTGTGAGTTTTTGTGGTGAACCCTTGGGCTACAAGGCCACTGAGTGTAGATTTTTTTCTTGGTGGTTGGGTGGGTGCCAGTGTTGTAAAAAATTACTTTAAAAATGCCTTTCCACCC